TTGCTGGTGGCTCCCAAATTGTGAAACTCCCTTTCCAAACCTATTAGCCTGGCACATTACATTATTTGGTGTGTGTTTTAGATTCTGGGTGAAATCCACCCTGGGTGCATGTGGGTTTAGTAGAGCTTAGGGATGTGGGTGGCGCTGGGATGCGGGTGGCGCTGTGGGTTAAACCACAGAGCCTAGGACTTGCCGATCAGAAGGTCAGTGGTTTGAATCCCCGCAACGGGGTGAGCTTCCATTGCTCGGTCCCTTCTCCTGCCAACCTAGCAGTTCGAAAGCACGTCATAGTGCAAGTAGATAAATAGGTACCTCTCTGGCAGGAAGGTAAACGGCGTTTCCGTGCACTGTTCTGATTTGCCAGAAGCGGCTTAGTCATGCTGGCCACATGACCCGGAAGCTTTATGCTGGCTCCCTTGGCCAATAAAGTGAGATGAGCGCCGCAACCCCAGAGTTGATCACGACTGGACCTAATGGTCAGGGGTCCCTTTACCTTTAAACCACTTAATTTATCTGCTGGATTTTATGTTTTAATCCAGCCTTGTGAATAATTTCCCTCACCCCACCTTATTATCTTGCAGTATTCTTTACTAGCTTATTGGGGGCTATCAAAGAAGAGGCAAAAGCTGTATTTCTGTGGAGAAGGGAGGAGCCCTCCTCTAGCAGCCCTTTTGCTTTTTATGCTAGGCACAGAGGAGGGACCAAGCTTCCCATCTCCTTTGCCAACTCACTCTCTCCTCTGCATGGAACTCCATTCACTAACCTGCATGCAATTTGTGTTCATCTCTGACAGGGTTGGGGAAACTCAGGGCCAGGTGTTGAAAGTGCCCCAGGGTCTCTGTCTGACTCTTGGAATTTTGCCTAAGCCGCCACTCATTGGCCTTGGTTTGTACTGTACTCGGTTTGTACTTGGTTTGTTTTGTCTGATTGGAAATGTGTCCTTGAACTCCAGTAGTGCCTCTTGCTGGTTTGGTTTAAGGATAAGAGAGTATGTGGATGGGTGTAGAAACTAGCCCAAGTTTTGTTGATTACTTCAGCCTCTGATCTTGCCCACTGCTGTGGGATATATGGCCCTTGGAAGGTTGCCTAGAAGGGAATGCATCAAATTGCTTTGTGCAACATTTCCCAAATGCTAGACAACTAGCTGGTTGTCGGGGAACTTGGCTGCACAAAGTTGGCCTGCAGGCTAGTGGAGCCTCACCCCTGATTTATAAAAAAAAAGAAGTGTGTATCTGAAGAAGTGTGCATGCACACGAAAGCTCATACCAAGAACTAACTTAGTTGGTCTTTAAGGTGCTACTGGAAGGAATTTTTTTTGTTTTGACTATGGCAGACCAACACGGCTACCTATCTGTCCCTGATTTATCCCTGACCATTGGTGATGCGTGCTGGGACTTGTAGCTCACCAACATCTGGAGTGTCAAACGTTCCCCACAGCTGCCATATGGTATCAAGGCACTTGGATCTGTGTCAGCTATGAGAAGCCTGGGATTGCCCTGCTTTATGTCACAAATTGGCAAACCACCTCAGTCCTCTTGCAGCTTGTGACGCTGTTCCTAGCATGGAGCTAAAGCCACTGGATATGACAAACCAGCTACCATGTCATAACCCTGCACATGACCTTGTTAGGGTGACTGGCTGGCCATCTGATTCTTATGCCTTTCCCTTTCAGGATCTCTTCCCTTTCTGAATGCTGCTGAATAAAGGCTTTACCTTTGTCACATATGTTGTTTATTGATGGCGATCTCATTTCCCACACCCTACTAGGATCTGGCGCCATGTGAGTTCAGGAAGGGACTACAAAGGCAGGGGAGGGTTCAAGGAGCTTGATGGCTCAGGGGCAGCACATCCTCTTTTTTTAAAAAAAAAGATATTTATTAAAGTTTAACAATTACAGAAAAGAAAAGAAAAAGCAAACAATAAAAAAATTACAATACTTCAAAAAGAAAAAAAATACATTAAAAGAACAATACAGCAGATCAGTAAAAAGAGAAAAAACAAAAACATTTAAAAACAAAAACATTTTAAAAAGAAAAAAGAACAGATCCGATATTTACATATCTTTATCTTTCATTTACTTATTTCCTCGACTTCCTCACACCTCCCTTTTTTGTATTCTAATTCAATTAGCTGTTTCAGCAAATCCTTTCCCTCTTTCTCAAATTTTGTTCTATAATTTATCTTAACACAGTTTACCCTTAAATTTTACACTTAAAAGACCCTAAAAACTTAAAACTTATTTAAACTTATCTCCTTATAGCATTTCTACTAAAGCCAAATAGTTTCATTCCAACATTTTCTTAAGACTCATTAACTTTACAATGTTTCTTTAAATGAATTTTTTAAACTTTCTTCCAATCTTCATCCACCATCTCTTCTTCCTGGTCTCGGGTTCTGTCAGTCCTTTCTGTCAATTCCCTCTAGTTCATCAACCTGGTGATCTTCTATCCGAGGCTCTTAACTCTTTTCCATGTCCCTTCTGCAGATCTTCTTCAGATTTGTACCTGCCCTTTACTTTGTCATCTGTTGATCTTATTCCCACTTTCTTTCCTTTGGCACTGGGGAGTAGATCTCTGGGAAGCTCCAACTTAACAATGTCTTTAGCCCTTCTCGGCAGATCGGCCCATTCTCCATGGTCAGCATTAAAATCCAAAGGAAGTTTCACAGCATGCTTCAATGTCCCTCCAAAGTTAAAGGTCCCCACAGCTCCAGTCTCTCCCTGGCCTAGGACCAAATCCCATAAGTCTGGACATCCCTGCATAGGGGGATCGAGCCCACTTCCCATCTCCAATCCAGCTGGGACTCCATCTCTCCAGATATTACTCACTCCAGGCTCGGGCATCAGAGACAACAGCTTATAATCCTGCAAGGCCACAGCTCTCTCAACATATATTACTTGAACTTCGACGACAACCTCCTTCTTTGAGTTCTCCACAACTTGCCCTGTCAATGCAAATTCCTGGGTCAATTCCTAAAGGGTTTCCGTATAAGTATTCACTGATTGTCCAAAGTTGTCAGTTGCAATAGTCATCAAATCCATCTTTGCGTGAAGCTGCTCCAACAAAGCACTTGTCCTGCACAAAGCAGACACTAAGACTTCCTGTGTCGACATTCTTGTCCAAGGTCAAAGTCTATTTCTCACGGTCCTTAGACATCTCTAGAGCTGGCGAGTTTCTCAGGTCCACTCCAACAGCAATTTCAAAAGCTCCCTCTAGGGGATTCAATTTCTAATTGTATCCGTCCTTTTAGAAGCAGATCCAGCAATAAAATTACCTTCCTTTTTCAGCTATTTTGTTCCTTTTAAGTGCAAAGGGAAACATTGGAGTCAATATGTTTCTCTTACCTAACTATCTGTCAGCGCACATTTTGTTCACGGTCAATGAACCTTCCCAATACGTCTGTCTTTTGACAGCCCGTTCCCAGGTTCAAGACAGTAGAAATTTATCTTTCTTTACCCTCTCTCCTGCAGGCTTATACAATTTAAAATTTCCCCCCTCTTCTCCTGCTTCCAAGTGGGGTTTAGTAGTTTTGACTGATGGAAATTTAGTCCTTTACAAATAACTTTCCAGACTTTAGCTTGCGATGTCTTTGCTTCAAACTATTTACAAAAGCGGAAGGCGGACTTCCTGTTTAGACCTTCCCGCTCCGGTGCCAAATTACGAAGTTTTATAATCCAATTTTCCGTTCTACTCACGGGTACCGTATTTTTCGCTCTATAACACGCACGTGACCATAACACGCACATCGTTTTTAGAGGAGGAAAACAAGGAAAAAAATTCTGAATGAAACAGTGGATGTATCATTTTTGTGCTTCATGCTGTGGCCACAGACATGTGATCTGATGGTGAATTTGGGGTAGCTCAATGCAAAGATCCTGAGGATTCATGTGGATCCATGCTTTTTAACCACATTTTTGCACCATTGCAGCCCCAGGCAACAGTGGGTGTGTGATTTTTGGGGGGCAGGCTGCTATGTGATCTGATGGTGAATTTGGGGTGGCCCAATGCAAAGATCCTGAGGATCCATGTGGATCCATGCTTTTTAACCACATTTTTGCACCATTGCAGCCCCAGGCAACAGTGGGTGTGTGATTTTGGGGGGCAGGCTGCTATGTGATCTGATGGTGAATTTGGGGTGGCCCAATGCAAAGATCCTGAGGATCCATGTGGATCCATGCTTTTTAACCACGTTTTTGCACCATTGCAGCCCCAGGCAACAGTGGGTGTGTGATTTTTGGGGGGCAGGCTGCTATGTGATCTGATGGTGAATTTGGGGTGGCCCAATGCAAAGATCCTGAGGATCCATGTGGATCCATGCTTTGTAACTACATTTTAAGTGGGGAGGGAAGGAAAAACACAGAAGGGACAAGAGAGTGGTGTGCAGAGAAGCAGCTGGCTAAGAATGCAGGAGAGGAATTTAACGGGAGACCGAAGCCAGCTCTCTCTCTCCTGCATGTTTTCTGGCTGCCTGCGAGGAGCACGGAGAGGAATTAGAAGGAAAGACCTCTGCTTTCCCCTCTGCTTGCCTGGAGGGGAGGGGATTTGCCTGCTCTTTGTTCCGTTTGAGCAAACACAGCAACGAAACAGAGGAGGGTGGGCAGTAAGACCCTGAGGCAGAATGCAGGAAAGCAACCACTTCCTCTTTTCAGGTTTCCCTCTCCGACACAACGCACGATTGATTTTTGCTGATTTTTGTTCCTGCGCTCCCCTAATCGGCTCCAGGGACCCCCCCCCCACATTCGCTCCATAACATGCACAGACATTTCCCCTTCCTTTTTAGGAGAAAAAATCTGCGTGTAATAGAGAGAAAAATACGGTACTTGTTTAGAGTCCAATTGTCCACAGGAAAAAGTCAGCACTCTCCGGCAACAGCAATGCGGCTTCACTCCGTAAAAAGAGCAGTCAATTCGAAGCACCGCGCCACTCACCCCACTTCGCTCCGGATCCCCGAAACCGGGTTTCCCCACGAGTAGGGGAGGCGCAAAAGGTGCCAGCCGAATCCCAGGTCCACAGGCTTCTCCCGCCTGTGGTTTTTAGTGGGTCTCCGCCTCGCCGTGGCGGTCAGACCCTGATTTTCACGGAGTGGATTCCTCCCGATCAGAGGAAATCCGCCATTGCCGGTGGCGCTAACCCGGAAGTCTCCACATCCACATCCTCCTGCCCTGTTCGCTAAATCCCCGGAACTGTGAAGGAGCATTATTCTTAGGGTATGCCAATGAGATGGGTGCTGCTGCCAAGATGTGCAAGATAATTGTTCAGGCATGTGCACTGAGTCCTGCTAGGATGCCAGCTGGCAGGGCCAGCCTATCTGGTGAGATGGAAGGTGTGGATTGGTCACAAGCGTTGGTTGGGAAATAAGGTGGAGCAAAAGGACTGGTTGGTCCCTCCAGTGCTTCTGTGGATTGGCCCTGTGTGCCTGACCGTGGACAACATTCCCCCCCAATCCTGGATTCAAATTGAGGATCTCCGGTATGTAAAACGTGAGTTGTTTGAGTTCACCTCACACCGGTTGCAGGTCAGGACTATTTTGTGTCCATTCCTTATAACTGCATCCCACAATGGAGGGCACACTTCAGGCTACTATAGTTGTCTGCTTTCTGCTGTGACTCCTTGTCTTCTACACTAGACAACTGTTACTTCTTTCCCACTGTGCTGCCTTTCATTGCTGCATTTGCTGATTCTACACAAACTCAAGATGTGACCGCAGTTGCTCTCTCTCAAGTTGTTATTCCCAGCAACAGGTATTTGGAAGCATATTGCCTCTAGCAGTGGAAATTGAACGTAGCTGCCATGATTAGCTGGTAATTGATTTTTTTTTAAGGATTATGAACTCTGGATAATGGCCTGTAGGAGCTTTTATGTCTAGCTCAGTAATTTTCAAGTGACAGGGGCTGGTAGTGACTGGTAGTGTGTAGTTTACAAATAAAGGCTTATTTATGGTATTCATGAACTCTGGCAGGAGGTGGTCTCAGCCCAGTTCCTGAGAGCCTGTGCTTCACATTATGCTACTTTTATTTGTTTTTAAAGTAGTCAGTGAAAGTTGCATCAGCCTTTTCCTTGGAACACACGGTGCATATCGAGGCCAGAGCTACTTTGAGAATTGCTTTATGCCCCTAATTTTGGTGCAGTTAGAAAATGGGGGAAATGAATAAGGGCAAGTTGTTGAGTTGAGGGAACTTCGAAATCAGAGCAGGAGTGAGTCGCTCTGTATCTCAGACTCAGAAATAACAAAAGAATTGCACTCAGACCACATTGGTTCCTTGCGGTCTGGTCACTGGTGCAGGGCTTCACTTCCTCCTAGTAGGCCAAGGCCTGAAACGTTCACTAGGGGGGGTGGCAGTGGGTATTGGCAAAAAGGGAAATAAATAGGCCTGTGTAAAATGCTGTGTGTTGTGACTGTTTGAATCTTGCTAAAGATAATAAGATTTGCACAAATTTGCAGTTTGTTGGTTATAAAAGGAAAGAGAGGTTATTTCCTCTCAAGCATGTTGTGGTTAAGCAGAAGAGTGAGCGGCAGTTGGAACATCTCCCTCTGCCACATGTTTCCTCTTGTGTCCCCTACAAAAAGCTACTAGAAGCTTTGAGAGGTATCAGCGACAACCCAGGTAAGGAAATTGCACCCTGTGAGGGACTCTAATGCAGGTTATAAATATTGTCAAATAAATAATAAAGGAGTTGATCAAAGAAAAGTTAGGCCCTCTTGCCCCGTAAGTAGTCTCTGCTGAATCCTTGTTGTTTCCGCCTGGTAAGTGCCATATTTTTCCATGTATAAGACGCTCCCTATTTTGGGGGACTCCAAATTAAGAAAACACCCCTTGGCACTACCCATGCATAAGATGAGCCCCAATTTTAAACCCAATTTTTTGGTAAAAAAGCCTAGTCTTATACACAGAAAAATACAGTATCTTGCAAGGGTGCAGGAGCAGCTTTTAGCCGTCTCGTTTGTAACTTTTAAAGAAATGTTGAATACTTCTGAGCTGACTTGAGGAGTATGGGTTGTAAACAGTGCTAGTCCTCCTTAAAAGTAGATGCATTGAAGCTAATGGACATAAGTTTGGTTTATTAATTTCAATGGGTCTTCTCTGAGCAGGACCAGAATTGGTTACAACCCCATGTTTTTATGCAAGCAGGGAGGCCTCTAGCCAAACTGGAATTCTGTTGGCCATTTAATTCTGATGCTACTTTCAAATATCCAGAGGTTCCAGCAGGGAGAATTGAAATGGTAAAAGGAATGGCAGTAAGGCACTTCCTTTTAGGTTTCAAAACTTGTTTGTAGGAAGGTCATTTGAGCTAGGGCCCTTTATTCAGAACTGTTTCATCTCCAAATGATGTTTCTTGCTCATGCTAAGCAGCGAGATTTTATTCACTTCTGCCATAATTTTAAACGTTCAACCTCAGTGCCATATTTAGGGATCCAATATGAGAGTCACATTGTCACTTCCTGAATCATAAATTTCATACAATAAGTCATTTTACTGATTTGTCTGGTACAGGGTTTGTGTGTGTATATGTGTTAAGCATAATTTTCTTTTGAGGTGCCTCACCTGGGACTATTTTTCTCCTCTCTGCGTCCCCTCTGGAATGTTTGTCAAAGAATGCTCCAAATAGGCTTTCAATATATAAATTCTACTTGCTATATCTTGAACGGGAACATAGAGGAAGGACTGTTTCTCAGTGGTAGGGTGCACACATAGCATGCGAAAGATGCCAGGTTCAGTCCTTGTCATCTACAGGTAGGGTTGGGAGAGACTAGCCATCAATCCTCTCCCCAGCATTTGCCCTTTGCTGCTTCCAGCCTTCTCTCAAGCAAGGATATGGGAGCCATCTGTATGGCATCTAGGCTGGTGAGAGGACTTCTCCCCTCTGAACTACATTTGAGTAAGGCTCCTTGGAATGCAGGAAGACCACAACTTTATTGTCAGTTAACTCTTGTTTTGTATTTATGTACTGAAACCTAGACTGGGCCTGGAGGTGTTTTTTTAGTAATATTGAATTTATTCTGTGTTTGTTAGATTATTGATTTTTGTCATTTTTGAATTTAATGACGTGCTCTGTATTTTGTATATTTGCATTTTAATGTTTTGAATGTTTGAATGTTTGTGGAAAAGTAGCATATAAGTAAACTCAAACAATCGATATAGCAGAGCTAAAAAGAACAGGTATGTTATGCCTGCTAAAAACCTGTTTCAGAGCCTTCTTGCAAGAATTCATATCCTTTGCCTCTCTGTGTTGCTATTACTTTATATTTCTTGTGCCACAGAGGATTGCATGCATAATCTCCACTGTCTTTCCACCCCCACTCCTGGGGCCTGCTATCCTGACTTCTCATAACAGATTCAAGTGGGGGTGTACTACCCTGTCCTTGTTGGCTTAATGTGTCCCACCTGGGACAGCTTCAGCCAGCAATTGAGTGCATCACCATTCAGAGTAATAACTCTCGCATCATCAGGCTGACTAAGTTTTGAAGGGATCACCAACAGTAGTCATAATCCAGAGTGGTAGCATTAGACAAACAGGACAGCAGTACATCTCTCTATCCCAGTGCACAAGGCTCCCTTTACTCCCGTTTGTCACGTTTATATGAACTTTTGATTTTGCCACATGATAAGGAAATGTATGGGTGTCTAGAGGCATTAATTAGAGAAGAAGTTTTGCTTTGAGCACCTGTGGGTAGTTCAGTTGGCTAGAGCATGGTGCTGATAACGCCAAGGTCACAGGTTTGATTCCTTTACAGGACAGAAGCATGATAAGCAGGAGATTACACACCACTGGCATTCTTTTTCGCCTATGTAAATTCCCTCTGAGGTTTTTTTACTTTAATACTATCAAAATACAAAACCCATGCATTTGAGGCATGAGCTTTGTATGATTTAGTACTGGAAAAAGGTGGCCAGAACAGGGTTGCAAAGAGCTATCTGCTGCTGTTTCTGTCATGGGATGAATTATGCAACTATGGGATTAAACTTCTTGCCATGGGTTAGTTGAGGTACATGGTCCTTGGGAAACAAATACAATAAATAAATACTAACAGCTGAGACCCATGTCTGTGGGGTGGGAGAGAGAGTTGTGCACTACCAACTAATAATCTAAGTCAGCAAAGTCCATCCAAAACCAGAAGATCTTGCTGCAGTTCCACAAATATATATTCAGGCTTTATCATGGATCATTTTCTCCATTTACCCCATCATCTAATATTGGCATAGGATAAATGCTATTGATTGGTCGGGGGGGGGGTTCTACAATTTCCAGGGTGTGCCCCCAAACCATTTAGGATTTATAATTTTAGTCAAAGCTGTGTCATGCAGTGATGTAAATCTTTTTCTTTCTCTCACCCCCACCCCTCTCTCCTTGTAGGAGATAATTGATCTCACTGGGGATGACATCACTGTAATCGATCTGACGGGGACTGAGGATGACATGATCAGCCCTCTTCATGATAGTTACAGTGCCATTCAGGACCTGAAGCACTCTACTCCAGTCAGCATGCACTCGGTGTGCTGTCCGAAAATCCTCACCACTAAAAGCGCTGAGAACAAAGTTGATGTGCCAATCAGCATGTGGGACAGAGACTGTGAGCTGCCTTCCCCCCAAGAAGATGCTATAAAGAAGCAGCCCTTATTTCAGTGTAGCAGCTGCCCCATCATCCCCAGCTACGGTGGGGACTCTGAAAACAGCAGCCACACCACTTACAACAGTGATCTGGGCTCCTTAGGAAGCCCCCAGGTGGGGTCTGATGTTTTCTCCTTCTCTTCAACCCCCAGCAGCAGTGAATGTCAAGCGCCCTTGGACTGTGTGGATGAGGTTCCTGGTGCTGGTCTGTCTGTGGAAGAGCCCAGCCCCCAGCATTCCCCACTACATCAGAGACATTCCCCAAGCCCCATCCCCTCCTGTTCTCCAATGAGCACATCTCCACCTCTAGCAGAAGCTAATCAGCATTTTCTAGAGGCAAATAACCCAGCACCAAATGCTGTCAAATCAGATGTTTGGGCGCCAGCGAAGCAAATCGACATCAAGGTCTGGTTGAAAACATTGCAGTACTTCCAGGGAGTTCCTGTACATCACCCCTTTTTCCAAAATGTGGTGCAGGAAAAAGATGCTGAACAGGTAATTGACGGAAGAGACCAGTGCTTCCGTAGTCTGAATAAAAAGAGATGGAAAGAACCAGGCTGTACAAGAAAGAGCAGGAATGAGGTCATGCAGGCTGAAATGTCCAACATCAACCAAGGCTCTAGTATGTTTAACTTGATTGTGGGTCTCACAGCACTGCACAGATTTGACAGCTTCACAAATAAGCATGTGTGAAAGAGAAAGACTCTCTAAAAGTGCAATCCTATGCATGCCTACTCAGGAATAAGCTGCACTGAACTCAATGGGGCTTACTACTTAAGTAGATATTTGCTGTAAAAGAAGGAGGCCATTTTTATTTTACATGTTTAAATATCTGAGAAGGATTCTCCCTCTCAGTTGGCAAAGACAGTTGAACAGAAATACCTTATTAGGGGGGAAACTTGTTATGTGTTTATGTTCAAACAAATTCAAATCTTCATTCAGAAATTATTTTTATTGGAATATTTACTTGTATTTTAATTTGTAACTACTCAATATCATACTTTCCCAAATATTATTTAAATTGTAAGCAGTTTTCACTGCCTTTTAACATACTAATTTTAGGATGCCTGAAGTCCTGTGCAAATACATGCATGTGCTTCCTAAATAGTCACCTCAGAAAAGTTAATTATAAATTTGATCTATGATTGGACTAGTATTGTATCCATTTCAGCTGCCCAGTTTGCCTTTTATTGCATTCATATGTTAAGTTACCAATTTTATCAAATGGGGCATTTTGGAAAATTTTCTGTAGAAGAAAATAGCAATAGAAAACTTCCTGCAGTATTTTTTTCAATCCCACTTCACTTGTACTGAGGAACGTTATGCAATGTTTATGTTTCACTGTATCCACAGAAGAAGCAGCCTATCCCATCCCGGAAACTAAGCATGGTGTTCAGCACTATCGAGGAGAAATTCTTCCAGGGAACCTTGGACTTCCTTATGGATTATGTAACCTCCCAGCACTACCCGCCAAAGGAGATCACATCGTGTGTGATCAGGCAGATTCTCCTGAGCTCAGATCAACAAGATGTGCAACAAGAGACACAGAAAGATGCTTATATGTTGTTGATGAAAATCCAGTCGTATGTATCCCGTGAATTACTATTCTTTTATTTTGTGTTGCCTTGCAAAGGACCACGATCCTTTCTTTCTAAGCTTTGTGGTTGTGTTGTAAATTCTGCCATAGTTTTGTGTGTAAGTGATTGCTTAATGAAACAGATAAATAGCTGCACTTGCAGAACATACTCTTTTAATGGTTTGAGCTTTTCATTTCTGTGAGGCCTACTCTTTATTAATTATGAACGTTGATCATGCACCCTTCACTGAAAGGCAGTCCCAGGGCAGAAGATATATCAATATTTAAATAAAAAATGAGCAATGTAGAGACCAAACAAAATAAAACAACATCAATAAAATTCACAATAAGATCATAGGCAGCTGCCATGGAAAAGCTATTTAATTAAGTGATTAAGTGATCAAATTTATATTACAATGGAACAACTATGTAATAGCAGCTTATTCATACAGTCAGAACATGCACCCCAACTGCATTTTATCATTGGTTAAAAAATTGCTACAAGTCCCCATTCAAAGGCAGTAAGTACAATATCAAGAATGTGCACAAGTGGGAGAGTGGTCACCTTGCTCTAGTGAAATACAGTGTCTCTGTTTGCACCTTTTAAAATAAACAAATAACCAGAAGGTTCACAAAAGAGCAGGGTACTGCTGCAAGGGAAGATCTGATACTTTTAAAATGTTATTTCAAAAAGCCTAAATGCCCTCTTCTACTTGTAAAGTTAGTTAGTGTTAACTTGTAAAGTTAAGTTAGTGACTTAAACAGTTGGACCATAGCATGAGCTTTAATAACAGGAGCCATCACTAGTAATGGTCCAAGCAATATCCTGCAGGTGTTTATGACACTTCCAGGGCAGGATACAACTAATGAGTCCTATCATCAGTTGGTCATATTAACAATTGCCACTCTTCACAAAATACCACCAAGGAACCACCAATAGACTGGATGCTTTGAAATGTGTCTTTGATTTGCTATTGCAAAGAATGTTTGTGATAAAGATTTGATGGTATAACAGGCCTGCTTCTTAATTTTAGACTTCATCCAGCAAGGGCTGACACTGTGGTATGGGACTGGCTGCTACTGCGAGTGGTAATAGAAGAGCAGGTATGTTGATTACATCTCACTGTGTGGGGTGGGTGGTTTTTAAGAAACTATCATTCTGCCAGCCTTTGCTTTGCAACTAAGAGAAGGGTTCCCATGCCAGACCCTGTACTAACAAACTGGTCTTGAAGTAAGCCTGATTGGCAGGGACTGCTTTGCATTTGCTGCAGAAAAAGAGGAAGGAAAGTTACCTGGCTGAACATCTTAGTCACTGTCAGTAAATCAAGGCTTGCCAAAGGACATTTTGTGGTCTCTTTGATTTCGGAAAAGACAGGAAAGAGAACCAACCTCAAGTGGCCGAAGAAATTGTAATGCACTTTAAAAAAAAAGTAAATGCCCAATGCGTTTCAGCCAGAAGAGGCAGAATGATTTGATTCTCTGCCCCTGCATTCTGTACTAGGTTCTTCTAACCACCCCCAGAGCTAACTGGGGGGGGGGCACATAGGGAGGAGGGAGGAAACTTGTGCATTCTTCACAGCCCACAGGCTATGCAACTACTGTTAATTATATGCTCTTCCTGCCAGGCTGGGTGGGTTTGTTTGTTTGTTTGTTTGTTTGTTTGTTTGTTGCTGTTCTGACTGTTCCCAAAACCTGGCATTCCGTGGTCAATGCCATGTCTGATTTATCACTACTGAACTGTTGTTGTTGTTTTGGCTACATCCCGAGTGCTTACACAAAACTGGCATGGACCACTCCTCTACATGCTTGTTACTGAATGAGGCGCTTTATTTTTAGAGCAGGGCCAGGGAACCTGTGGCCCTCCAGATGTTGTGGGACTCCCAACTCCATCTGCCATTCCTGGCATGGCCAATGGTCAGAGATGATAGGAGTTGAATTCCAGCAACGTTTGGAAGGCCGCAGATTCCCCTTTCCTGAGCAAGAGCCATTAATGCTATTATTTTTGTCTCCACTCACACGTAGATCTGCTTTATATCTTTGGGGCAAGTGCTTCAAATTCCTTTGTGCCTCAGTCTTGCCAACATCTAGCTGTATCTACATCTTTCAGGGCCAAACCCCACATGACATTAGTCACATATTCAAACAGTTACTCTGATATTTAAACAAGTGTGATTAATCTTGTGGCTTTCTTTTGGAGAGAAAGCAGCTATGAGGCCTCCAGATAAGAGGGCGATTTTAGAAAACCAACATGGACCCATAAATCTTGATCAAGTAGGTGTTTTGAGACTGGGGCCCCACAGCTGGCTTTTCCCCAAAAGCAGCCAAGTTTTAAGCACGCTTGTTCAAACACAGGACCAGCATCATGTGTAAGCTGACCCTCATGGATATATCCATTTTGGCCTAGCTACTATCAGGACTGTTTGTATTCCAAAAGCCCATGAAATGACAGAAATCAACATACTGAAAATCTCCACTTTTGTTTTTCTCCTTTAAAATGAAAACATCTTACCTGTATGCTGGTGACGGTTGCTTGAAATGGGTGGGCCTCAGAGTTTATATAGGTCACAGCAGATACTAACAGAAGAGATCTACAGGGTTAAGCCTGGAGAGGAATGAACTTCCCCAGCTACCATGCACACTTGGCTGGAGTGCTGCATGGCCAATCCAGTCACGAGACTCTCATAGGGTGGGGTTATGACTACGTTTCTTGTCTTATTCATGTGTTAACATTGCCTATAATTTGCATAATAGCACATGCCTGGCAGTTTCAGCCCAGGTTTTTAGGTTTGTAAGCTCATCATACAGAGGAGCGAGGGCTTATTATAAATAATTCTGTGTTTAATTCTTTTCTGGTACCCTTAGGAAGGAAAGTTTCCTGGGCGACTCCTCTTCTTGCAGTATGTGATCCAGACCTTGGAGGATGACTTCCAGAGGATGGCCAGGATAGGCACTCTGCACAAATCCATTGCCAAAGCAGTGCTTTCCTGTGACCATTGCTTCGACAATGTCAAGTAATTATCACTTTAATCTAGAGAGGCTTCCTGTGTGCCAAGCAACTAGGGCTTGAGGAATTTCACTTGTCACATGTTCTCTGCTACATGTGCCCTTTGGCCACTGCTGATTTTAAGAGCCTGCACGTGTGAGACCCAACCTAAAGCACTACAAATACTAGTGACTCCTCACTAGGCTAAAGCCCATAAATATATGTGGGTGACATGCAAGACCACTTGCCACAGACAAGCACCTGAGGTCATGGCAAGAGGACACACAAGCACATCCTTCACTAATACTCTTGTTTCTGTTGCAGGGAAGTGATTGAATGGCTAGTAGCTGCAGTTATGGGTATACGGGTTACGCAGTACAGAAGACACGTGCAGAAAACCATTCCTTCACTAGAAACCTCCAGAGCCATGAGCAGCAGCTCTGTACCAGGATTGCACTTAAACCAGACTGCACAAACTGATGACGTCATTCCACAATTTCAGTCCCAAACGTAAGTAGGGGAATGTACATCTTTGTCTCTTTTGCACTTTACATTGTAGAGAGGGGTTTCCTCCTAGAGATACTTTAATGCAAAAATCCTACCTATTCAGGTTGTTATCTAGATTTCTTTCCCAATTTAGGATGACCTACCCCAGAAACAGGGAACCTGTGGCTTTCCATGTTGTTGGACTCCCAACTCCAATTGGCCAGTGACCAAGGAGGATGGGGAAAGTAGTTCAACAATATTTGGAGGCCCACAAGTACCCCATCCTTGGCCCTGGTGAACTAGGGAAGGACAGATTTTCTTGTAGGTTGAGTTCATTTGGTTTCAATGATGATGATGATGCACTGATAGTGGCGGGTGTCTGTCTATCTCAGTAAGCCTGAGATCTGAGCCTGATGAGCCACTTCCTGTCTTCAGTAGATATCAGCAGTTTCTCATTTTTTAAATCTTAAGTTAACCATATTTGCACATCAGTTTCTAATGTTGTGAGTGTCCTCTATTTCAGAGGCTTCTACTCTGCAGCCTCTTATAGTTGTTTTAACTGCGAGTCTTTTAGTTCTTATGCTCTTACAGTTGTTTTAACTGCATGTTTTTGTTTGTTTTTAGTTCTTATCTGTTTTAATTATCAGTTTTTATCCATCCATTATCCGTGTTTAATCTTGTATTTTATTCAGATGTTTTATCCTATGCTTGTTTCTTTGTCCTTATTTGCTCTAACAATTATCTGTTTAAAAAAATCCTAACCACTCTTTTATTTATATGTTTTTTTATCCTGGTCTGTGACCATAATAAAGTTAATTCATTCAGCAGAAAAAAGATACAAGTCCGCTCTTGGACTGGACCTCTCTACCATTACTAATGTTTACACTGTAGAAAAGATGTGCATAACCTTTGGCCCTCCAGCTGTAGTTAAACTACAACTTCTACCATTCTGGGCCATTGGTCATGTCTGGGGAGTTCTAGTTCAGCAACTGCTGGAGGGCCAAGGGTTCCCTACACCTGCTGTGGAATTTTTCATTTGGCTGGGACTCCATGCAGTTGTGGGAACATACTTCATGGAGGCCAGTAATGTTGCGACACATCATGTGACTTAACCAACCCCCATAGGAAGCAGATTCAAGCATTTCTATGGCTGTGTGGATTATCAGCAGAACAGAAGCAATTTGGAAAGAAGCTGCACCATTGAGAAAATGGCTTGAAACAGGCCTCGAGTTCATTAGCTTGCTACTCAAATGCCCATTAAGTATCATCAACAAGTTCTGAATGTTTCAGCTCTATCTCATGTGAGGCTGTACATCAGAATTTTCATCTTCCCTGATATGGTAGCTATGTTCTGATGGTTCTCTGTTGGTTTGGGAGCAAGACGTTTGATACACTACAGTGGGGTAGTGTTGAGGTGATTAACACTATTGTTTCCCGTTTCTCTGACTTAGGGAGGTGGCATTCCTGCAGAGGATGCTTTCTATAGCAATAGAAGTGGACAAGTCTCCAAACTGCAGCACCAGTAAAATTGTAGATAATGTGTTTTATTCATGGCTGAATATTCCCAAGCGGTGCCACAGGTAAGGGGTGTGTGGGTGTGGGTGTAAAAAATCCTTCTGTCCTTCCCTGTGCCCAACTGCCCTCATGCCCCCAGAAGACCTACTCATTATATACCTGGATGTTCAACTGTTTCTGGGCAAAGAGCAAATATTTGATGAGTCTGTGCCTAATCTTGGGAGGACTAAAGGTCCTATGCAGATCTAGAGAGCCAGCAAAAGTATTTCGTTGATATGTGTCACCCAGCCTTCCCATCTGTTCTGAACAGAGAGACAATGAGCTGCTTTCTATCAGCAAATGCAGCAGTGGTAGACACAGGTGCCTTTTTCCTGTTGATGGGTTGCCGAGTGGGAGCATGCCCACCAGCATTTTGTGGTCTGCCTTTCAGTTCCTTTAGATATGGCAGCATTTTGTGACTGGCATCCACAGAACTTCTGCAAGATTCCCAATATGCCCACTGGCCTGAAAAGGTTTATACAAGATGATGGACAAGTGGATTTGGCTTGGGTGAAGCAGTATCACAGACAAGATGTGGGGGCCTGGTGGGCCTAATTAGCCTGTGGGCAGGACATTCCCCATCACAGCCACCAAATATGCCTGCAGGGTCATACCAAAGAACCATCTAGTCCAGTATGCCTCTTCCAACAGCAGCCAACTAGATACTTCTGAGAACCTTCCTGAAGGCATTAACCCTCTCCCACTGTTGCTCCCTTGCAGTTGGTACAGTAGTATACTGCTTCTTGAATGTGGAAGCTCCATATAGTCATTATGACTGATAGTTGCTGGTAGTTGTCTGCTCCACTAAGTTACCTTAATCATTTCAACATAAATCTTGGTTAACATTCATTACTACATCTTTTGACAGTGAATTCCATATAATCATAATCAATTTATTATTTATACCCCGCCCATCTGGCTGGGCTTCCCCAGCCACTCTGTGCGGCTTCCAACAAAATATTAAAATACAGTAATGCATCAAACATTAAAAGCTTCCCTAAACAGGGCTGCCTGTATGAAATTAAGTTTTCATATAATGTATACTTTTCTTTTGGCTGGCATGAACCCATTGCCAATCAATTATTTCTTTATTAGATGCCAAGTTCTAGTATAATGTAAGCAGGGAAAGAACTTCACTATGTACTTTTTTCTATTCCATGCTTAACTTCATAAACCTACATGAAGCCTTCAGTTGTCTCAAAGTGTAGTTTAGAAAACAAAAAAGGACAGAATCAGAGGAAATGTACGTCCACTGCCAGAGGTGTACCTGGTGGGAGAAGCTGTGAGCGAGGACATCCCACCCAGTCGGCTATTGACTTCAGGTGGCCTTACACCCAAGCAAGGAAGTTTAGGATTGCAGTCTTAATTTGTGAATGTTATTCCAATGTTGTTAATGCCAAATTCTAAGTAGCAATTTTTTTTTTAATGGCTATGTTTTCTTGGATATCACTAAAATGAAATGGGTGTTACTTCAAAGTAAGCTTGTTTTAGGTTTTCTACTTTTAGTGTAGAAAACAAAGAGAATTCACTCTCTGCTGATTGCTTATCATCACCTATTAACAGCCTAATTAAAGCAACATCTTATAAAATAATTCCATAGCTGTATTTATAGAAATATCCTTCCCCAACCTGGTTTCCTCCATATGTAGTAGACTTCAAACTAGACTTCAACACCCATCAAAGACCTTTGGCTATACTGGCTTGGGCTGGTGGGAATTTGTAGTCCGAAAACATGGTTGTACCATTTTGGGAAAGCCTGCTGCAGTTTTCTTTGAACAAATTAGTTCTGTATCAATCATTAATCTATTTGTACTCAGTACAGCAGGGTGAAATGAAGCAGACAAGCTTCAGTTACAGCATTTACCCACTTCTCATTACCCACTATTCATGCAGTAAACATCTTCAGCAGGATAGCAGGCCTTGCTGACCACGGAGTACACACATTCAGATAGGGTTCAGTGTGCATTCAGCTACCATGTTTCCTGTGTCTATAGCAAACTGTGGGCCCCGGGACTTCCATTTTTCTTGGATGAGTTTGTTAGCCTCAGAATGCAGAGAAGATGCTATGCCACAAATGCCCTCTTCATCCTTGCCTGCTATGGTTACTTATAGCCTGCCAACACAAATTGTAAGAATGGGTTTAGCTTACTTTTCATTGCTACTCTGAAAGAGTGGGGCCTGTTCCAGATGGGATTGTGCTTTGGGAACAGTTCTGGACTCAACCCCCCCCCCCCCATTTTCCCAAGTGTGGCTTAGCCTGTTAAATTGGTACCAGGTCAGTGAGGCCTCATTACTCAGGTTGAATCGGCTATGCTGCTTGGCAGTATGTTTCTCGAGCTAGTTCAGGGCATTGACATATGAAGCCCAAAATGATCTGTATCACACATAAGCTTTGGAATGCCTGCTCCCATTTGAGCCTATGCAATTTTAAAGCAGCTGAGGAAATTCCATTTCAGGTTCCATCTTATCTAGTGGTCAGGTTGGCCCACACAGGCTTTCTCTGTGCTGCTCCAGAGCTATGGCATGCACTTCCATGGGAGATAAATTTAGTATGTCCCCTTCCAATGTTCTACAGGCCAGTGATAATACCTCTGTTCCAATATGCTTTTGATAGGTGTACAGCTGTTTGACAGTTGATTCATTTTGCTCTTCCTTGGTTTTATTTAGATTAGTAAAAACGGGAACCTCATATTGGGCAAGAGGTGGTATAGAAAATTGTGTAAAACAGGGACAAGTTATCGTTCCATTGTTGTCTCCTCACAGGGAAGCCTTCCTAAGCAGTATGGAATGCCACCTCTTGCGCTGCAAAGTGTTAGAGCTAGTTTTCTACCACAGCTGCAGAGAAGCCCCTGATCTGCGCCCCTTATCCTTGAAAAAGATACTGCATTTTCTGAAACACTGTTCTCTGCAGCTGACATACCAGGTACGGCAGAGTTCCTTTCCATCATTTATCCCGAGAACTAGTTAGTGTTCATCATTCCCTCCTGTTTTTATGTATTCTTTAATACTAGTCCAGTTTCATTCCAAACTGGGTTTACCTCTTTAAGAGACATGGATCTACCTCTTGCATTCAGAACTGTTATTAATGTATAGAATCATTCTAAAAACCAAAGTAACTTAAAACCTATCTGTTCACAGGACAATGAGGCAACATGGCAGAGGTGGGATGAGATGCTTCACCAACTGACTTTATTGTTGCTGAGCTACCGCCGAGTAGTCCTAGGTGAGCAGCTTGTTTACAGCTCATTAGCTTGTCTCCATAGTAGCACTATATCTTGATCAGGTTATGTAAGTGTCAGCTAGCAAACTACTTGGGCAATTTCGCAGTCTTGCTCATTCATTAAGTCATGTACACATAGAGGGGTGGTATGTTTAACCAAAAAAAAAAAAAACCCTCAGTTGATAGAATTGCCTGGTGGAAATCTATTACCGTATATACTTGAGTATAAACCAACCTTTTCAGCACATTTTTTATGCTGAAAAAGCCCCCCCCCCAGCTTATACTCAAGTGAGGGTCCGTCGATGGCAGCGGAACGAGCAGCCTGAAAGCAGCCATTTTGGGTTGCTTGTTCTTCCTCTGGTGCTGCCACCACCAGCCTCTGCCTCTCGGCAGCACCCTAGGTAGGTGGGGGGGGCGGAGAGAGAAGCCCCATCTTTCGTGTGTGCATGCACACGCACACACTCTGGCCCACCAAGAGGTTTGTGGTGTGGTGAACCAGCTTAAACTCGAGTCAATAAGTTTTCCCAGTTTTTTTGTGGTAAAATTAGGTGCTTCGGCTTATATTAGAGTATTTATGGTAGGTATCATCTGTCTATGGGTCCTTAAAATCGCCAAATATTAGCATTTTTCAACGTGTTTCCTGCAAACACAACACTAGGATAGAATTTGACAGGGAGGGGGAGACTCCAGTTTTGCCTGCAGATGCATTTATCAGGTAAAAATGTAACAGGTCCCTATCCCACTGTTAAGTACAACCCTTACGGTCAAGTGTTTCCTACTTTTCTTTTTTATAGGGCACTTAAGAAGCTCTGTGTGTGAACGAGTAAATTTGATTATCAAGGCTGCCAGACCCAAATTACAGATCAGTGATCTTGTTGAAAGAGATTCTGTAGAGTGTGACATTGAAGATTTCCAGAATATTCTCTCTCTGACTCTGGGGCAGCCACTTCCCCAACCCATAAAGGAAAAGACTGAGCTACTCCAAGAGTTGCTTCTCGCTGCTATGAACTAACACAGGAAATATTGGACAGCTGAAATATAGACTTCAAGTATGAACAGCTGAGCACTGAATTTTCAGATACAATTTTTAACAGTAACATTAAACCCCCATTTCGTATTCATCGGTGGACAAGAGGTTGTACAACTTGATCTTCGATTTCTGTTGTCATGCAGATCTTAGTCTTTTTGTTTTGAGTTTCATATAGTTTTTATAATAAATTATTTTATTAAGAGGTGTGAGAATTTTGCATTTATAGGGACAAGAACACTGGAAATTGTTTATTCAGTAGTAAGTATCGAAGGGCTTACTCCCTGATATGTAGATTGCAGTCTTAGTGATGTGTGACAGATTCTGCCATTGCAGTGATGACCACATCCCTAACAGTCTGTCTTTAAGGGTTTTTTTATTATTGTGCAGAGATGTTAAGCACAGAGACATGAACACAAAATAAATTAACACTAAAAAAGCTGGATCACTGTTTACACACAGCAATGGTGATGACTAATAGGGCAGAAAAAGCTACAGTGGTATTGAAGCACAAATCCTAATGTCGTCAATGTAAGTAAAGGAATAAGATGAAGCTGAGTGAGACACCACTAAGTCACTCAGCTGCAGAACTGCCAACAATCTGTAGAAACAACACAGTTCAGAAAGGGAACAGAACCCATTTAGGACATTAAAAAGATTAGTGAGGACTTCTCAGTAAACATGCTGTTAAATAAAAGACCTTTTTATCTGCATAATGGATATTCCAAGATTGCCATCTCATCACTATAAAGCCAACCAGTGACTTGCGAGTTTAGGACCAGGACAGTACCTGCCCCCTATGTCTTCAAGCAATCACAGAACACATAGTCTTCCACTGTCTGATTGCTCAAATAGAAATTAGCAACAATTTATGCAACAATTTATGCAAATGCTTATGTTCACATCTAAGGTGAGACGCTAGGTTAAAATCTTCCCTGTGCTCTAATGACTTATTTTCCTCTTCCTCCCTAAGAAATATATAATAAGCATAACCGCTGTCCCTTTAACTTTATAGCTATTATCTCACATCCTTTCCCCTGAAAGTGCTACTAATAATTCCCAAATGAATCCCCATGAAAACAGCTACAAATCCCTCTGTTACCTCTAGGAATGAAGAAACTTTTCCATTCTACTGTGGCTCCAGCTTCATGGTATGCAGAACCCATTTGATGCAAAGGGCTTCACAAACAGTATCATTTCATAGTACAGTTCTAGAATTAGTACTGACATTTTTTTCATGTTGAAACATTTAGGTCCCTAAGACATGAATCTCTTACACGTAGAAATAGCCAAGCAGGGAGTCTTCAACTTTAAAGCATGGTGCTAAATTTCTCCAATATTCTTACCAGAACATTAGACTTCAGTTGATGCTAGATTCCCTCAAACAGTTCAAAGATACTAGAAAGTTATACATTGTCCTTCAGTAATCTTGCATGAATAAGTAGATGTCTACACAAACAGCAGCCCAAATATTCAAGCCAAAAAGGTCCAATAAGTTGATTGTTTCCCTTTATAAAACTTAGGTATTCAGAGAAGCACAGAACTGCATGTGAGAACTCTGTTGGCAAGATAATTATTTTGGTGCTGCATAAGAGACCTTTGGAAGGAAAAAAAAGAGCAAGAAATTCAGAAAGTTGCCCAAATCTTGTTTCACCACTGTCTGTAACTCTGACCTAGAAGAGACCTTCCTATGTCAACTGTATGTGTGGAATGTGAAAGACACCCTAGGACAATATAGTCCATCAGATTTCAAGATCATCCTGCCTTTAAAGTGGAGGTGTTTCTAGAACCCAGTAGGAGTAAGCACATTCATGTCCCGGGGTCTGAGGTTATGAGAATGTGGGGACCGCTTCTTTTCATCCATAGCTGGAATGTCCATCTTGGGAGGCTTGAAAGTTGCAGGGTCCTCTGCCATCCTGGTGGCCTGGGCACGCATTAGTTCCATTGGGGTTGGTTTCTGGGCACCCTTATAGGCCTGGACGGTAAAGCCCCCTGAGAGAAGAAGAGGATACAAAAGAGATAAGAGAAAGGCAAAAGCAGCAAACCATTAGGCACATCTGTGCAGATGTACAGCACAATCAAGACTTGTGTAAGCAATTGCCATTTCATCAAATTCTAAGCACTAACCTGGCGTGCTCTGGTCCATGGGGTCACGAAGAGTCGGACACGACTAAACGACTAAACAACAACAAGCACTAACCACCATCAGTCATATGGCATGTGGCATGTCAACGAAAGATATCTGTGTATTCCTATAGTGACAGTCATATGAGGAAGCTATACCTAAAACTGCAACTCAAGTATCCCATTGTGATAAGCTTTTTGCACATAATCTATGGCAACTGCCTTGAACAGAATTTAATTGTCACTGGAAGATTCAGGAATAGTTCTGGCAAATCAGCATTAAAGGAGCAATGCAGATGGTTAAAGAGTCAGAATAATATTCACTACATTTTTTCTTAAAAGAAATAAGTAGGCAGAGCATCTTTGCTTATTGGGAAAGTATGGAACAGACATTCCTCTATCAAATATGACTGAAGGCAAAACAAAACACTAGTAGTTAACAGTTAGTAAAACCACATTATCTACAAATTTAGGATTAACGCTGCTGTTACAAAAGCACAATAATGGGGGGGGGGGTACAAGACTGAATCCAAAGTTTGATTTTCCAACCTTTGAATGCAGCATTCAAGTTCTATGCCATAGACTGCAGAAAGCTGTGGACACACATGGTACTATATGCCACACCTTGATATATGCATTCTCTTCTGTAGTCCCAATTCCAATTTACAATAAATTCTTCCCATTTACTTTTAAGTCTCTTCATAATTTTAACTCTTCGTTAGAGCAGGGCTCAACTAATACATCAGTTGACTCCCATCAGCAGAATTCCTGCACAAGCGCTTTCACTTGTGCTATGGGGGTTTCCCTCCTCCTTTCCCCATACACCCCAAAATTGGCTCTGGGGGCATCAGGAGAAGGCCCAAGAATAGTATGCAAGGGGAGGAGAGGGGGGATTGTTCTTTCTGGCAAGCCAAAATGCTTGCCTTGACAAAACAATTACCACAGTGTGATGTTTAATTTCTACTTTAGTCTTTAAAGCCAAAGCTTGCTACTCTGGTCTTTTGTAAAATGAACACATATTTTTGAAGACTGTATTTTTGGAAGAACACATATTTTGAAGACATAAAGACTGTTTTCTTAAAATGTTGCTATACCTGAATCAGTGTGTTTTTGAAGAGCTCTGGGTCCAAAGAAGCTCCATTTTTCAGACGGTACTTTATCGCCATCCCCACCACCGGAATCCATGGCAGCAAGCTCAGGACCCGTGATGGATGCGGAGGACCCCTGACTAAACCAACCCCTGAAGAGAACAAATCAATTAAGAACTGAAACCAGATAGGCAGACCATGGTAGTATCTGACTACCATAAACATTTAATTCCAACTGAACAATTCTCACTCCACATAGGTTTACACCAAAAGATAAATCCAGGAGAAAATTATGTGAGCCACATTACCTACCCACAACAAAAAGACTGGGTATCTTTAAAAATGCAGCAAAAAAAGAATTGGACAGATCCCACAAACAGGATTCGCAAAACCCAAAAGGAAGCTAGGATTCCTATTAATTTAGACACATAGTTAAGTGCCCTTTGTTTTCCTCTTGGGAAATGTACCTGTATGTGCGCTTGGGAGAGGAATGGGGAGTGCTGCTTGGAGTGGACTGGGCGGAAGAGGCCTGTTTATCTTCTTTTGCCATCTCTCCACTTTGCATCTTTAGGTTCTGTTAGAAAGTGTAAAGATGTACAGTTGGAAGCTTTCCAATTCTAGCAAGTGAACAGCGAGCAGCCACAGTTTAATTTTGTTTATTTCATTGGTAAAGCTTAATAAAAGCATGATGCAGCATATTAATGAGAATTGCATGCAAGACTGTATGGAGACATTTCTGCCTTGATTACAGCTACCTCTCAGACATACCATCTTTCAAGTCATCACCCTCTATTACTGAACTTTGTATTCCGCTTCAAAGGCATAGCACCCATTTCCCAGTAATAGTAAATTCTATATGTTCAGTCTCAGAAAGTTAGGCTTTTGGTGCAGGGAAATAAATAATTTACATAAATTACTTTCAGTGCCAATGCCTCACTGGTACTGATCAAGAACTCAATAAATTATATTTAACTGGCACTAGATTCAAGCTCTCTTAACACAAACTCTGAAACAGGATGCAAACCGGAAAAATCCCCGATTCTATTGTGCCAATGACACCTATTAGCAAACTTTCCACACTTAGTTCTGAAAAGTAGTAATTTACAACCAATACCAATTTAAGGAATTCACTACTAAAGCACAGTGAGACCCAACACCTTACATGGAGTGACTCAGCCACACGATGGTATTTAGTCTCCTCTGCAGTGAGGCCTTTGTGGGGAGTGTATCCGGCATCTCTCAACCCTGCCTGCTGCTCAAAGCGTTGAATGCTCTCCTGAGTTTGCTCTAGAACGGACAACACAACACATTCATACAAGCCACAAACACTACGGCCTGCAACAAAGTTCTAAAAGGCAATATCCTATAGCCTTTATAGTTATTAGAAATGATAAAGCACGGAGGGAGAGATTTCTTTAAGCCATCTATTATAAAGCGCCAGAGCAACGCACAGCACAGTTAAAAAATGTTCTGGAACTTTCATCATTCCAGCAGATTGGAAGGGGAGGACAGGACTAAAGTTAAAAAGAGAGACCAGTATAGTAAAATAATCTAGGATTGCTTTGTTTGTTTATTAAATTTGTATACAGCCCTTCACCCAAAGATCACAAGGCGGAGAATATAAATAGTCCCCTTCCCACAAACACATTTAAAAGGCCATAGATTGTTTAACCAGCTAAAGGCCTGGTTATACAGAAATGTTTTCCTTTGCCCTGAGCTCTTCCTACAAGTGATCTCACTATTTTTTGGGTTCCAGAACCAGACTTTCTAAACCAGGGATGGGGGACATGTGGCCCTGCAGGTACTGTTAGATATTGTTACTGTCTATTGGCCATATTGGCTAGCTGATGGAAGCAGTAGCACATTATCTTGAGTCACAGGTAGGTTCCTCATCCCTGTTCTAAACCTTTACTGCAACAACTTTTGTTATGTTCTCATGAATGCAGCATAAATTCATACATAATCAGAAGCTGGGCCCAAAAAAGAAGCCACCAGGGTTTAAGAGGAACACCTTCAGAAGGCCTTCCTCCGATCTACTGTTATCAGAGTAGAAACCTCAACCCTGTCCTTTAGTAGCTTTTTAAAAGAAAAATGATGCAATAGTAACGGCTATCTTTAAATATTAATAAAATATGTTTCCAGGAATTATTTCTTAAACATAAAGGAAGTTTCCTTCATTGCTTTACTGTAAGAAAGTAAGTAATATACCTGAACTAGACTTCCATTCTGCTGTGATCACTAGACTTCCAAAACAGAAAAACTACAGGAGACTCAAAATGGTGAAATATATATGCCACATCCAAAGCATGCTGATTCAAGCATATTGTCTATGTGCCAGTTATCTGTCCATTAGTAGGAGGAGGAAATGTACCATTAGCAACCTAATGAAGTTGTTTAATTCACTGTAAATTCAATGGAAGTGTGTATTTAGTTTTCCCAAAAGATTTAACAGCTACAATTAAACATAAGTGCCAACAAATTATCTTCCACAGCCATTCATTTTAATACATTGACTGGACAAATGGAATGAGTTTGCCAAGCTAACAAGTAAGAGCTGGCAGTATAGTCCCACTACCACAAAACACATAATGAAGTGCTGCAGGACTTAAGAAGAATTAAATTTCCATGCTGTTTCCCTTAGGTTACATGCTAGCATTTAGGTACTAAAGAGGATCAGAATATGGAGGTAGAGCATCAAATTCATTCTTACAGCATTTTATTTGACCCTTTCCATTGGGGAATCCAATCTCTTTGAAGGCCTTTCTGAATGGACAACTATATCACAGAGAATTAAAATAACCCACATGGTAATGAGAAATAAACCATATTGCAAAATTTGATCTCCAGGATAACTTGCCTACTAGAGGAACACAAGAGCTCTTACTTGTAATGAGAGAATTCATGATGATGTGGGTGGCCTTGGCCTTCACTACAGGAACCTTGTTCAGAGTCTCAGTGGAAGATGAGGGGGTAATGGCAGATGGATTCATGCTAGTCTCCCCTTCCTCATCCTGTGCAGAGGAAGCCAGGGACAGTTTGAGGAGAAAGGGGCAAAATTACCTTAGGAGAATCTCATACACTACTCCTGATCCTCAAGGGAAGGAGTCCTGGAATCATACTTGAACTGTACAGATTGAACATGGTGCTCTTGCCATTTTCCCACCCTCTCATCTATAACATTTTAATTCTGTATAGTATTTAGAAATCTTTGGTCTTGCATCCAGCAGATAATCAAAATATCATTATATGAAGCTAGAGATCACTCCTATTTTCACCAAAAACCAGATCCGCTGTAGTCCATGAAAACAGGTGAAAATATTCTCTCCTGCATAGAAGATAACTCCAAACCCCAAGTCTAGTTCTCCTCATAAGATAACTATGGCTTTCTGATTATTCCCTGCTTTTGAAAAGTAAATCCAGGGTCACAATCTGTTACTTGCCACCCACCCACAGCCATTTAACCCTAGTAAAAATCTATAGTTGTTGTTTTTTTAAATCATACCAGCTCTTCGTTGTGACACTTACACTCTTTTTGTCAGACATTTCACCAGTTCTGACCAGTTACAGCCATTGTAATAAAAATGAGTGTTTCTCCCTCAATAATTGTTGCTATAAAAAGTATCAGAAGAGCATTTGTATTATTGGCATCTGCTTGACTTGAGAGAAATGGAGTGTGCCTCTGGAGCGAAGCCAAGCCGCTGTTAGTAGCACTGAAGTGACCTCTCAGGGGTGCAAGCCTGGGCAATGTGTATGGAGGTCCTTGGCTGCCCAGTCAACAAGACCCTACTCTCAACCTTGCTGAAGTGGTCCAAAGGAAAGCAGAGCAATACGTTTGGTACCAGCTTGGCTTCAGGAGCTGCCAGAAGGAGGCGTACAAGGTGCCAACCAACCATCTTAGGGACTATGTTCTGGTTTTGTGTGGGGTTTACCCCTTAGCTTTTTCTCCCCTGAAGATATCCTGCAAGGCAGCAGAGGTTTAGGATCAGAAACTGCCTTCTTGACACTTGGACCCACTATGGGTCTTGTCCGCTCAATCTACCAGAGCCTGTATTCACATGCAGGGGAAGTCCCTAACTCAACGAGGGTTTGAGACCACTCAGCTACCCTCACCTGGTTTAGCCGGCCAGTCAAAGCTGTTTCCCGGGGTGTGGCTGTCACATGTGAGAGCCACAGGTGAGAGCTGAGTGCAGCGTGGGAACCAAAGGTGGACAAAGTACCCCAGAAGGAGCACACTACATCTCCCACCAGAGGTACTACACCTCCCCTAACACCCCATACACCCAGAAGAGCAAAGCAATGCAAATTTGATGCCCCTCAGCACAGTTAATTTCAGTGGTTGATTTACGTCTTCAGTGGGACATTAAAAGTGGTATTTACTGGACACCTCATACCACCTCTATAGTCACTCTAGAGACTGCATACCTTGGAAATATTTTCATATTTGCGTTCTGGGACGACTGGCTGTTTCCACAGGATATTGGTGGACATATTTGGAGGAGGAGGGGTCATTGGTGCTGTATCCTCAAGGGCATCATCATAACTGAATGTCCGACGGTTCATTCCAATGGGTTGGGACATCTTTCCTAGAAAGCCTCCAGAGCCATGCTCAATAGCTAAGGACAGAGATGAAAATTTCACAGTAGGCTGCACTTTTAGAATGTCAACTTTATACAAGCGAGTAGTACAGATCACATTAGCACTTATTTCATTAAGATGATCTTCTAGCATCAGTATCACAGGATTTTAGAACATTGTGATGTAACTAACTTTCTTTCAGGCCCAAGGCCACATCACCGTATTCCAACTCCGTCAGGTAGGCATGGCCACCTTATAGCAGGCAAGCAAGAGCACCTGTGCACAAGCCACCACATGCATACCAGGGAACACGCACACAAACAGCAAGCAAGGTGAAAAATGAAATTGATAATAGCTGTGAGGGTAGTTTCAACCTCTCTGCCCAGTACTATGAGGATGAAATTCCATTAGTGTACTATGCCCCCCTCAATCTCAAGGCAGCACCACACTGGGTCAGGGAATTGGGGGCTACTGGAGAAGACTTAGTGGACTGGATGAAGCCCATTGGCCACTGGTTCACCACTACTGATCAAAACAATGCACTTGATCCATTTCAACCAATAATTAGAGAGCTAAAGGTGCTACTAGAGCTAGAAATTCTTAGGCCAAAGCTCCTAGAAACACTGTTACTCAAAAAAGTCTACTGCCTATTAATTTAGGCACTTATCTAGTCCAGAATTACTAAAACCCAAGCCCTGGCACTAAAGCATTTATTCAGAATCTTTTCCCACATGAGACACCTAGGATCAGGAAGGTAATCAACTTTTCATTAAAAGATGTTCAAACAGAATAACCCCAGAAAACACAACCTAAAAAAAAAACCAGGCTAGAAAATGTTTAGGTACTTAGGATGGTCATTCGATTTCATAGGGATCTGAAGAATTTTCCATCCCTGCCGAGATGACTTCCCAAACTAATGGTAAACATCCTTTTCACTCATAATCAGGTAAATAGGCACACTAACCATAGGATTTCAATAAATTCACTCAATAGCAAATTAAAAGTCAAGTAATGGTAGCATGAAATACATAATCCTGAAGGCAATCTGAAAAACTACTTCCAGGAACAGATGGAAGAATTCATCTCAGGGGAGATCTCCATCAATTTAGTAATTAATTCATCATCATCTAGTTAGCAGTTGTTGGTCATTAGCAGGGAAGAAAACTGACAACAGCAACCATAAGATGCTAGGTCACCAACAGATGTATTGTTGAAGCGCAATTACAATTCTCTCTAGAGCAGAGTCAGATCTTTATGTGTGTCTGCATTTAGTGTGGTACAGCTAGACCTTCATAAAGACAACACAAATAGACTTGGGAGATTTGAATAAAGCGCCTGATGATATTTGTTACAATTACCACTAGACACTTTTACACCTGACACATTTACTTAGATAATGAGTTTTACCAGGAGCATCTGTTCGTCTTGAAGCCATGATTGCAAGTCCAGGTGTTTCACTATATGGAAATCCAGAACAGTATTGCTGTTACCTAATAAAAACAGAGGGTACTTTCATCTGCAAAAGTTACACCATAGCAAAGGATCCTGGTTTATAATAAAACTAGAGTATGTCAATGAAGCTCCACATATTTTACTTTGCTTATAAAGCTAGCAAGATGTCTAACATTTATTTTGATGATTTAAATAATGAAGCAATGAAAAGGTATTATGGCCTAACTCATTTTAAATTAATCAGCCTGCGTATCATTGTAATCAAAGTTTTTATAAGAAAAAAACTAATAGAGCTTACCACAACTTATGATGAGAGAAAGATGTCAAAAAAGGACCATTCTGTTGCTGATGCTGAAACTAGCAAACCATCCTCACGAGCTTCCATGCAGACAGACTGACAAAAATTCAGAAGCAATAAATCTTTACTAAAGTAAGACAGTCTACAATTGCAGTAAAATTGTATTCATAATAACCTAATTCAATACTGACAGAAAGCCACTTCAACCTTCATAAAGGAGAAAATAGTGCACAACGCTCAAATGCCTCATCTACCTGTTAACCATTAGGTTGGTGGTTTGAGCCCACCCAGAGACAGCTGTGAGCGGAATTTCTGTATTGCAGGGAGTTGAACTAGATCAGGGACGTCCAACAGGTAGACCGTGATCTACCAGTAGATCACTGAATGTCTTGAGGTAGATCACTGGCTCCCCCCAAAGAAGCTCAACAACTTTGGCTTCCCTTAAAAAAGCTCAACAGTTTAGCCCTGCACCCCCACAAAACGGTGCTTTCCTCCTCCCTAAAAAAAACAAAAAAAAAACTTACTTAACAACTTTGACCTGAATCTCTAAAAAAAACGGGCCTTCCTCCTCCTTATAAAAGCTCAACAACTTTGACCTGAACCCAAAAAAAGGGGGCAGATCACTGCCAATTTTTAACTGAGTAGATCGCAGTCTCTTGGGAGTTGGCCACTCCTGGACTAGATGATCCTTCCAACTCTACAATTGTATGTGGGAATTTTCTAACATTTGAAGTGGTCTCAACTCGACACTATGTACATCAACCACACCAAAGAAACCGTCACTCAGTTGGACTGTCAAGTACTTGCAAAAATATAAAATATAAATATGAAGTTATAAATTGGCATACTTGGACTGCAGTAGTAAATAAATTAAGTCCAGTCAAAGTTGACTATGGGGTGCTGCGCTCATCTCACTTCAAGCTGAGGGAGACTGTATTTGTCCACAGACAGCTTTCCGGGTCACGCGACCAGCATGACTAAACTGCTTCTGGAACCACAGAATACCCTGACGGAAGCCAGAGCACATGGAAATGCTGTTTACCTTCCCACTGAAGTGGTACCCATTTATCTACTTGCACTAGCATGATTTCAAACAATGGGACTCAAACTGTGGACCTTCCTACTGCAGTGGCAACACCACAGGGTCAAAGAACACTCCACATCTCAATCAACATCTATGTAATCTACAATGGCACCTGTTTTCAAGGTAATGGGAAGTTTTCCAGCACAATATTAAGCAATCAACAGTGGTAGTTTACCTTTGAATTAATAAAATACAATGGTCTCAAAAGGTATTCTGGTGATTTACCCAGACAATCAAAGGTAAGCATCAAATAACTCAGGAGAGGTAGGTATTTCCATGAGGGAAATGCAGACTTGCCATAGATATAGCCTCCATAGCAGTAATGTTATCAGAGTGGGTGAGATATAAATAAGATGCCACAATGTAATTTACATTAATTTTTCTAACCATCATCTGTTGGCCAGTTCTAAGCATTTTACTCTTCTTCCAGCTGCAGAAACTGCTGACCTGGAAAGCAGCCATACAAACACCCACTAGCTCATGCCAGCATATTCTCCCATATGGTTGCAATTAACAGAAGGCAGATGCTGTAAATGCAGCTTCAAGAGGCACCAAGTCCAAATGGCCACTTAAGTCTTGTCCAGCAAAATTGCTACTTCTTGCAGCCAAGGAAGTGGTTTAAATCCAAGTGAGCCTATTCTCTTCCTCCTCCAATGAGAGAGGATGCAGGGGCTAGCGGCATTGGCTACTTTTAACATACTAACTGCATACAACATCTAACTGTTGAGGCACTTTACATATTATGAATCACTTTGAACAACCATCAACATGCAAGGAAAATAAGTTTTGCTGTAGGCTCAAAAGGTTTAGTCCACTAACAATCATTCCCTAAGCAAGTGTGTAAGGGAGGGAGGCACACCACCGACAAGTGTAGGCAACAGGTCCGTCTCATAGCTTAGGCTACAACCCTATACTCGCTTTCCAGGGAGTAAGCCCTTTTGAACACAATGTTGAGGAAAGTTTTTAATGTTTGACGTTTTATCGTGTTTTTAATATTCTGTTGGGAGCCTCCCAAAGTGGCTGGGGAAACCCAGCCAGATGGGCGGGGTATAAACAGTAAATTAGTATTAGTATTTGGCTTGCTTCCGAGTAGACATGCATAGTTAGGCTGAACACCGACAGGGAAAGGCGAGGCTTTAGTTTACAAAACGCATGCAGTGAGATTAAAAGCGCGTTTAATATATTTTTGCATGTTTACTCGAGAGCAAGTCTCACGGAGCCTGCAATAGGCCTTGCTCCCAAGTAAGTGTTTTTAGGATGGCACCCTAAGAAAAAGAGGCGGTTGCCTCAGATTTCACCACAAGCAGCATCTTCCGTCCCCGTCCCGCCCTGTCCTGCGGGAGAGTTCAGGTATTTTCCTAATACTGTAGGCTTCAGGCTCTTCCAAGCAGATGTCTGGGAAGGTGTCGCGCAAAATTCCGCCGGAGCCTTTCATCCCCGAGCCCAGCCTCCTCCTGATGGTCTGCGGCGGTTCCGCGACCGGCCTATCCCGCCCACTACGCGCCGTAAACAACAAGGCCGCGCTCGGCTGCTTTGCCTGCCTGCCCTCCCGCCCGCCTCTTTCCCTTACCTCCGCCTCTTCCTGGGCCGCCCGCAGCCCCCGGACTGGGTCCCCCCGGTACTAACAGGCCCGCTGCGCCCACGAGTCGGACGAGAGCAGGAGGCGGAGGAGGCCGCCCGCGAGCAGACGCCGGTCTACGAGATCCGGAGGCGCCATGGCGCAGCCCGAGCCGGGAGGAAGAGCTCAAGCCAGACCAATCCAGATCAACAGCAACGCGGCTGACGACATGCAACTGAAAGGACGCCGGGGGAGGGAGCGCAATATATAAGCTTAACGATCTCGCGAGAGTTCAAGCTCGCGTTGTTTGAGAGGCGAATTCTGAGGGAACTTAGCCGTTGGTATTCAGAAGCGGGGCTCCGGCAACGGAGACTGGCAGAGTGAAGGGGTCGTGCAGGCATTGATACAGCCTTGTCCTCTATGAATCTGTCTAATCCTCTTTTAAAGACATCCACGTCGCTGGCCATCAGTGCCGCCTGTGGGAGCGAGTTCCATAGTTTTTGCTGTGTGAAGAAAAAGGACATTCTTTTGTCCTGAATCTTCCAACATTCATCTACATTGTATGTCCACAAGTTCTAGTGTTACTAGAGATGGAGAAAAATTGTTCGTTTTCTCCATGCCATGCATAATTTTATATCTTTCTAGTGCATTTTTCTAAAAAGAAAATGTTTAGGGGTACTCTCATTTTCCTACTCATATTGAAATACTGCCCCTCAATGAGGCCAAACTTAGATTCATAAAATGTCTGGGGTATATGTACCCCTGTGTCCCCCCAGAAAAAAAAACACTGTATCTTTCTATCATATCACCTCTAAAAAGCCCCAAATGCAGCAGCCTTTTCTCATAAGGGTATTGCTCTATCCCTCGGATCATTGTGGTTCCACCTTTCTGAAACTTTTCCAGCTCACAAATAACTTTTTTAAGGTGAGGCAATCAGAGCTGTACACAGTGTTCCAGGGGCAGTTGCATCATAAATTTGTACTTGTATTGGCAGTTTTATTTTCAATTCCTTTCCTAATGATTCCTAGCATGATATTTTCTTTTTTCCTAGCATGATCTTTTCTTTTCTTTCTTTTCACCGCTGCCACACACTGTCAGCTTTTCATTGAGTTGTTCACTCTTTTTCCTGGTTAGTCATCACCAGTTCTGACTCCATAAGTGTGTATATGTTAAATAGGATTTGGGGCCCCAGCATGCATGAGTTCACACTTATTTACATTGAATTGCACTTGTCATTTTACCACCCATTCACACAGCTTGAAGATGTCCTTTGGAAGCTCTTTGCAACCCTTTGTTTCAATGACTGAACAATTGAGTATCATCAGCAAACTTGTCCACCTCACTGCTCACCCCTAACTCTAGATCTTAAAAAAAAAAAAGTTAAAAAGCACAAGTCCCAATACTGATCCTTGGGGGACTCCACTTTCTACATCCCTCCATCAAGACAACTATCTATTTACTCCTAGTTTCTGCATTATGTTATGTAACCAATTCCTAATCAATAATATGTATTCCTCTTGCCCTGTATCTGCTTACTAAGCAGTCATTGGTGAGGTACCTTCTCAAAAGCTTTGTGAATATCCCAAGTACACTGTGTCAACTGGATCACCTCTATCTATATGGTTGTTGACACTCTCAAATAACTAATAGGTTAATAAAACAGGCCTTACTCTTGCAGAACTCATGCTGACTCTGCTTCAGCACAGCTTGTTCTAGATGACCGGTCACGGTGTTCCGTTGCACTAAACGTGGTTTAGTCATGCTGGCCACATGATCTGGAAAGCTGTCTGTGGACAAACGCCGATTCCCTCGGCCTGAAAGCGAGATGAGTGCCGCAACCCCATAGTCGCCTTTGACTAGACTTAACCATCCAGGGGTCCTTTACCTTTTTTACCTATATGATTGGTTGTTTTCTCTTGAACAATAGCTCCCACCAGTTTCCCCAAGGCAGACGTTAAGCCAACCAGCCTGTAATTTCCACAGTGCTTTTGAGGAATCTGCACCTTTGGGGATTTCTGGCTTGCTAATTTGATGCTTGCTTTAACAACCAGAGCAACACCAACTCCAGTATGTCTTCCCTGTTCTTCCTATAGTATTTATATCTAGATATAATCATGTCCTGCTGGTTCTCTCCTTTCCACCAGGCTAGTCATGCTTGGAAGGCCTGTTATGAAACGATGGGAATTGTCATTTTGTGCTCTAGTTTTGCGTAACGTTGCTGAATTGCCAGTGTATTTCTGTAATACAGGAGCAATTTAGTTACAAATCAAATGACAGACCTTGAAACCACATTTCAAGGCTGTAATTTGCCCCCACCCCAAAGTCCCTGACACATGCACACCCACACACCTCTTTGCAGCAGACGAAAGTTTGGTGAGATGTGGAGGGGGCAACTTTTGCCAAGCCCTGGTATGCATGTGTACTTAAAGGCAGGAGAGGGGGGAACTGTCCAGAACAATTATATAACTTCAAATAAGTGATGCCTTTCTTCTTGTTTTCCTCTTCCCACCCCATTACGTTTTCCTTTTGTATGATGTCTGTTAGTTTGTGAGCTTGAAGGGAAGGGACTGGTTTGTCTTTTAATCTCTGTAAAGCACAAAGAAAAAAGTAGGAACTTTAGAAGTAACGTTGTTTCTGTTAGAAGAAGAGTGAAACTGGAACATTGCAAACATTTGTGTAGGGCTCACAAGGATTTCATATGAAGGTACTAATATTCAACCTGTATTCCAAAGCATACTGCCTTTGACAGTGGAGGTAGAACATGTTCAGGGTTAGTAGCCTCTATCTATCTATCTATCTATCTATCTATCTATCTATCTATCTATCATCTATCAAATCTTTTTTGAAAATACAAATTAAAAGTAAAACAAAACAGATGCAAAAGGTGAGTACTAATGTAACAAGTTTAAGACAATTCAGTAACTATGCATACTAACAATCTTAACTCTTTCTCATTTAGATTTTCTTTAAAGGGTTTCAGGATGAAGAGAGAAAATAATTCAGAAGGTCCATAGTCTAGAGTACATGGGCCAGGGGAGAGGGCAACAGCCACTTTCCATTGAGCTTTAGCACTTATAGCTGCAGAGAAGCCCTTGAAAGCAGGGTTGGGTTGCATCCCAATAACCCCATACAGAAAACAAAGGAAACTGCACACATATTGCAGTATTGTTTTGTGACCTTTGGGAAAGTCAGAATTTACTGAGTGTAAATCAGCAAAGGATTGTTGTTAGGCAAGGTATCTGGTTGACACTGCTGTTGTTGTTTAGTCGTTTAGTCGTGTCCGACTCTTTGTGACCCCATGGACCAGAGCACGCCAGGCACTCCTGTCTTCCACTGCCTCCCGCAGTTTGGTCAGACTCATGTTTGTAGCTTCGAGAACACTGTCAAACCATCTCGTCCTCTGTCGTCCCCTTCTTCTTGTGCCCTGAATCTTTCCCAACATCAGGGTCTTTTCCAGGGAGTCTTCTCTTCTCATGAGGTGGCCAAAGTATTGGAGCCTTAGTTTCACGATCTGTCCTTCCAGTGAACGCTCAGGGCTAATTTCCTTAAGAATGGATGCGTTTGATCTTCTTGCAGTCCATGGAACTCTGGACTTGACACTGCAGTTGACACTGCAGTTCCAGCAAATAATGCTGTTGCTTTTATTTTTTAATGCAAATATGTCAAAGAAGGGAGATGGAAATAGTAATTCTGAAAATGGCAATTTATTCCTCCCACATAAATGGTGCTTTTCTTCCGCAATGGGCTGGATAGTTATTCAGTACCATGACTCCTTTATTAAATATACCTTTAGGAATCATGACACACTTCTCAAAGGCTGCTCAGAGTTTAATAAAAAATACTAATAATAATACAGTATTACAATGGAATGAAGAGAGGGGTCTGAGATCAAGTCCCTATCCTGGCTGTTGTGGGCAGGAGCTGTTTCTCTTTTATTCTCTCTTATTCTCTTTTCCCCTCAAGACAATATGGTTCCTCAGAAATCCACACACACCCATTCTTTTGATTTTTGTCTTTTGTTATCATTGTTCTCTTTGTTTTATGTACATTTTAAAATGAAATAATAATATAAAACATTTACAAAACAAGAAAGTTCCCCCCCTTCAGATGTTTTCCCTCCCCTTCAATTTTTATTTATCTAAAATACCAGTTATGTGCTGTCTTTCAATATCAAGCCCTCCCAAGATGGTTTACAAAAGTTAACTAGCTTCATATACATAGCAGGAATACGGGGCTTCCAGATAAGAATCATCAGTCTACCTGCTCCCTGGACCCCCAACTTATATTACTTTTACCCATTCCTATGATCCACTTGCCCTGAGAATTGATACTTCTTTCTGGCAGGAGTCCTAGACTGTGGCATGTCTGTAAAAATACAGTTTAAAAATCACACCTGCCCAGCTTTATCCAACTTGCCTCTGAATACCGATTGCTAGAAACGGCAGGAGGGGAGAATGCTCTTGTGCTCAGGTCCTGTGTGCCAGGCATCTGTTTGGCCACTGTGAGAACAGGATGCCGCCAACATGATTTTCATGGCTGTGCCTCAGAGGCAGACCAGTTCCAATCTGCATTTTGCTTGGGCATGGACAAACCCTCAGACCATTTGGTCCATCTAGGTTAGTACTGTCTACACTGACCAGAGGCAACTCTTCAAGGTTTCAGGCAAGCTTCTTCTCCCTTTGCTCTACCTGGAGATGCCAAAGATGAAACCCAGGACATTCTGCATGCAAAATGTCCTGTCATCTTGGTATGAGACATGAGCAAGGTTGGCCTGAGACTTTTTGGCCTCTGGGGTGAACCACGAAATGGCACCTCCCCACTAGGGAAGAAAAGGTGAGTGAAGTTATGCCTCAAGAACAAGGTGCGATTAAAGATCTTCATCCAGATCTGCTGCCTCTGTGGATCCTGCCGCTAGAGGCAATTGCCTCACCATGCCTCATGGGTGGGCCAGCCCTGGACATGGGCAGGGGGACTTGTGGCCCTACAGATGTCATTGGACCCCAGCTCCCATTACTGTATTCCCAGGCAGCATGACCAGTGGTCACGTATAACGGCAGTCGCAATCCAGCAATAGTGAGAATTCCGCCTTCTTGGTGCAAGACAATATTACGCTCAGCAATGCGTTTTCTCTTTCTCTGTCACCTACCGCCCGCCCCCGGGGAATCTTCCTAGGTGGAGAGACAGAGCAAGTCCCCTTTAAGGCCGAGAGTGACGTCAGCCGGACTCCGTCCGCAGTTTGCTGGGGCTGATGCTGCCACCGGCCGGGAAATTCTCTGGCTGCTTAGACTGAGTCAGCAGCGCGCGCGCACGCACAGAGGCTGTTGTTGGTCAGCTGGGCGCATCTGCTGCGGATCGCTGCACTTGCTAGTACACAAGCCTCTTCAACCCAGGTTGCTAACTTGCGAAATAAGGAAGCATACGGATTTAAGGCAAGCCCAGGAGGCTGCAGGGGACTTTCCTGCGCGGGTTCATTCGGAGTGAGGCGCTGCTGGTGTTGTTGCAGTTCCCTCTCCGCCTGATCGGAAGTTGTTTCAGTCCGGTTCCTTCGCCAATGGCTCCTGCTGGCGCCATCAGGCACCTGAGCCTGGCGCTGGGCGCAGCGGTGGCCGCCCTGGGCTCCCTCCTTTTCATCGCCTGGAAGATCTACTTCCGAGACGTCAACGACAGCTGCATCGGCTGGAGGGGGCGCTGGGAGCAGCAGCTGGAAGCGGAGCTGGGGCGCAACGCACCCGGAGGCGAGGAGGTAAGATGGGTGGAGGCTGGCAGCGCCCTATACTCAAGGCCAGCGCTACTCTGTCAGCCTCCCCCTGGGACAATTGCTGCTCAGCTGCTAAAAGGAAGGAATATGTTTGGATCCATCCAGATCAGTCCATTGCCTTAGGGGAGCAGGTCAGATGGGGTTGTGATTCCAGGAAAGGTCCTAGAACAGATAATTCAACAGTCCGGTCCTTGAGCACTTGGGAAAAGGATGCTGTGATTTCTAAGACCAAGCATGGGTTTCTCAAAAACAGGTCATGCCAGGATAATTTCACTTCATTTCATTTTTCATAGAGGATAGAGGTACAAGCTTGGTGGATCAGGGGAATGCTGTGGACACAGTGCTTCAGACTTTTGACAAAGCCCCCCCCCCCCCCCATTCTTGCAAGGAAGCTGGTAAAATGTGGACTGGATGAAGTAATTGTTGGGTGGATTTGTAGCTGGTTAGCTGACTCAACCCAAAGAGTACTCATTAATGGTTCTTTGTCACCCTGGAAAAAAAGTGATAAATGGGGAGCCGACTGCAGGGATCTGTCCTGGGCCAATTGTCTTTATAAACGACTTGGATGAAGGAATTGAGGGGATGCTCATCAAATTTGCAGTTGACATCAAACTGGGAAGGGGTAGCTAGTGCTGCAGAAGACAGAATCAGGATCAAGTATATTGTTTTTGGATGCTTAATCTAATAACATTTGTTGCTTAATCTAAGAACTTTTGCTCCTTAGGTTGCATAGGTTTGTGTATAGTACACAAAATAGCTTGATCTTCAATTTGGCTGGTATCTTCCTTGTTTGGATGCTTAATCTAAGAACAGTTGTTGCAACTGCATCTAACAGTGCAAGCCTATCAATCTCTAAGTGACCTTCCCCGACAGCCTAACAATAACAGCTTTACACACAACCCAAACACGAAGTCTGGTTTTGCAGACTTGGCAAATAGCCACAGGTGAGGCTGCCAGTCATGAAAGGCCCTCCTGCAGCTGTGCTACTGCTGTGCCTCGAAGCCTTTCTTCTCTTTTCAGCCACCTTCCTGTGAGTATCAGATTTTGGTCCTTGGTTTGGATGGGGCTGGAAAAAGCAGCATTATCCACTATATCTGCAGCACAGAAGCCAAGATGCACATAGCACCCACTCAGGGCTTCAACTCAGCACAACTACAGGCCAATGGGCTCCAGATGGACCTCCTGGAGGGTAAGTCCTACCACAGCCTCCTGGAAGCAAGGCAGTCTGGGACAGTGGGAGAACTTTGGAAGTGGCCTTGTATCATTGCTGTGAGGGAAATGTGCAAGGAATTCTCTCTAAGCCATTGCATCACTAATATTTTTTTTGGGGGGGGAGGGTTTTACTAGAAGTTCTATGTGCCTAAAACAGAACTGAGTGTTCCATGCACCTCTTCTCTTTGGCAGTGGATGGGTGCCGAAAACATGCCATATACTCAACATGTATGGTTTTTATTTTTGGTCCTTTTTGTGTCTCAGTTGGTGGCAGCCAGAATCTACGTTCGTACTGGAACCACTACCTCAGCAAAGCCCATGTCCTAGTGTTTGTAGTGGACTCTGCAGATGGTCTACGCCTCCACACTGCCCGACAGGAGCTCCATGGCCTGCTAGCAGAGGACCCTCAGTTGCCTCTGATAGTTCTCGCTAACAAACAGGTGGGCCTCTTCTTTCACCTGGGACTATCTACAGAAACCTTCCTCAACCTAGGGCCCACAGACGTTCTTGAACTACAACTTCCATCATCCCTGACAATTGGCCATTCTGGCTAGGAATGACGGGAGTTGTAGTCCAACAACTTCTGGGGATCCAAAGTTGAGAAAGACTGGGTCTAGACTAGAGCAAGGCAGAGGAACCTTTTACCAGATGGAGCAGGACGCCATTCCTGATAGGGATGACTCCTCCTGCTGGAGACAAGTAGGATCCTCAACTTGCAACACCATCTCGAGAGGGGAGGAGTCATTCCATCTCTCCAGACCTGCCTGCGGCAAGGGAAAGTTGGGTCTTTGTGTCTCTCTCTGTGTGCTTGAGTGGAGTGGGGCCAGAGGCAAAACTGGCCATGTTAACGGATATATAGTAAGCAATGCAGAAGTTATATTTTGTATAGTGGGCCACACAAAGGTTAGCAGTGTTTATGTTTACACACACATCTCTTTTTTTTCCTTTTTTTATAAAAATTTTATTAGGGTTTTCACATTACAAAATAGAAAAAGAAAAAATACAAAATACAAAATGAAAATAGTTAAAAACAATCAATCTTTTCATCACATTATTTTTCATTTACTTGTTTCCCGGACCTCCTCATACCTCCCTTTTTTGTATTCCAATTCAATTTATTAGCTCAGCAGTTTCTTTCCCTCTTTATTCTACCCTGATCTTTAATCTTAAGTTGTTATAACATTAAATTTTTACTTATAAAAAACCATTTTTTCATATTCTTTTATACCATTACAGCTAGAAACCACCTAATTTCAATCCAACATCATTCTAGCATTCATTAATTTTATAATATCTCTGTAAATAGTCTTTAAATTTCTTCCAGTCTTCTTCCACCGACTCTTCTCCCTGGTCACGGGTTCTGCCAGTCATTACACACACATCTCTCCATCCTCCAGCCAGGCAAGCAAGAGGCGTTATCACAGTCCAAAGATAACATTCTAGCCAGGCAAATGCACACAAGGAAGGTGCAGAGCAGGGCTGGTGAGAGATGTGTCCTGGGGAAGAGTTCCAAGGGCCAGATGGAGATCCCCGGAGGGCCACATTCAGCCTAGTTCCCCACCACTGATCTGGAGATGGAACCCTGGATGTGTAGAGATGGAAGGGACCCCCAAGAGCCATCTAGTCCAACCCCCTGCAATGCAGATCTTGTCTGCGCTTTACATCTTCTGTATATCATTTGCTTGTACTGACATGACTAAGTATATTGGATAGCTTATGGTGTCGTCATAAGCATTTAATGTCAAGTATAACTGTCTCCTTCCCAGCTCTCTTTTTCACATGGATTGTTGTCTGAGAACGAGTGAAAGTAGATTTAAAGGTGTGCTTAAATACAGTTCTCTTAAGGACGGGTGGGGAAGCGGTGTCATTTGTTCAACCTGTGATCTATATCCACTCTAGGACAAGAGTGATGCGCTGAGTGTGGCAGAATTGCACGAGGAGCTGGCACTGAACACCCTGAAACATCAAAGGGAATTCTTTCTCCTGCCCACAAGTGCTACTGATGCTGGCCTGACCACCACAAACAGTGTTCTCCACCTGAAGAACCTGCTGCTCAAACTCCTGGCTCAGGTCTGAAGGTTCTTCAACATCTCCAGGATATTCAAGCCAGATGGAGCCAACTGTGCCATCATTCCTCTTAGCTTCTTGAGATCTTATCCTCAGAGAAACAGGCTTTCTAGGTCCTCAAAAGAATTTTTTAGGTGTTTACTAAACCCCCTTCTGGAAAGAAGCCTTACCGTCAATATAACCATTGAGACCTTGGCTAAAACAGGGGCAAAATATACTGACCATGGTGATAATACAGTAGTCTTGGGGGTGGCTGCTGGCATCGGCTGCTGAAAGTCCTAGGGAATGGCACTGTCAATACTTGCACTAAGAACTATCACTTTGTCTCCAAGACTCGACACAGCAGGTCTATAGGAAAAGTCTGTCCTGCGCAGGCTGGAACACCTCATCCCTCACTGGCCTTTTGGGAAGCTGGGGATTGACTGTGCCCCTATGAAATACTATTAAAGCCTCACTGCAATTAGTGGGGAACAGGATGTACCGTCTCAAACTGCCATGAGGGCTAGTCTGAGAGTGGGTGTTAAAGGGGCATCTCAGCAGAGCACGTGCAAGCAGCTATTCTGTTGAGGTGTCCCTGATGGCTGTTAGGGCTTTAAATGCTACTTATTAGTGCAATAAAATCTATTATACCTGATAAGCAACTTGATGGCTTAGCTGATCCCTCTCCAACATACTAGATGCCCTTGAATTACAACCATTTCCTTAGCATAAGCATGTTGGAACAATTGTGCTTCTGAGGCACTAGCTCCTTGAGGCATTTTTACAGCCAGTGTCCTTGCTCAACTTCCAAAGTCAAGTTAGCCCCCAGTGAATTACTACCCTTAATTTCTTTCTGAAGAAAGCAAGAGTTGTGAATTTCAGTGAAAGGCTGCAGAAGGAACTGGGAAATTTGAGGTACCTAATATGAATTGCTGTGCCCAGGCTAATGAAGCTGCAAATCCCTTTCTCAGTTTGGTGCTATGTTTGATCTCAAGTCACCTGTCTCAGGACTCATTCCTATAGAATCCATATTCCTCCTGAACTGGAAACTGTACAATCAGATAGTGTGGATGGAACATGCCAAGGGCCGGCCTCAGAGTTTGGGCTGCCTGTGATGTGGAAGAAGTTGGTCTCAGACAAAATGCCAATCTTACCTCTAGAGAAAGGAAAAGTTTTACATGTTCAGCCAGGCAGTCCTGCAGAGGGACCTTGTGTTTACAAGCAGAGTTAACCCAACCCTTGTGTGCTCTTTCGCAAACAGTACACATGCCAACTTCCTGTTCCCTTTCCTCACAGCAGGAAAACAGCAGTATTGCCTGAGCTTGGGCTACACTCCTTTTGCAAAACCTGATCACCTCTCCTGTCCCATCAAAGATTATGGGAATCTTTGTTTGTGCCTGTGGCTCCCAGCCCTAAGTTCCTCTTCCTTGTATGAAATGGATAATTGGTGACCAACTGTTTACACTATGCCCCCCCTCCCCACTGTATCAAATAAACCTTGAGTTGTTTGTCTCAGCTGTAAGGGATATGGTTGTGTTTTCTATGCAACTAGAGATATCACAAGGCCAGCAGCGTCATGTGTTATTGCTGTTAAGAAAGGCAGAACTCAAGGAGTGTTAAGGCCACTGCCAATACATGTACATAATTACAGTTAAGGGGTCTCTCTCTCTCTGTGTGTGTGTGTATTTTCATAGGAGCCTTCCCAAGGTCAGCTTTCCATTGTACTTGTATAATATCATCTCACGGGTTGACCTGCTGATACACAAAAATAGGACTTAAAATACTACAGCTGCAAAAAGTCAAGAAACTGAGACACTTTTCCATAGTAAGAGACCAATTTTTAAAAGAAACTTTTTTTTTTAAAAGAAAGGGAAATACTTTACTCTTCATAAAAGAATGCTTGAAAACATACTGACTTTTGATTACAATGGTTTACCACGACTTGTTGTTTCCATAGCTGGATGATGTACCAAAATTTCCTTAGGACAGTCTTCCCCACCTGTTCTCCAGATGGTTTGGCAAAGCTGCTTGTCACTCACACAGCAAGGACAGGAAACATCCTTTGGCTGTGCTTTGTTACTGACTCGGGGCTTGGGAAAGAAGTTTATTTCAACTAGGATCTATCCCAAAGCTAAGATGGTGCAAGCAGAATGCAGCAAGGGCTCTTCAACAATTAGAGGTCAGACAAAGTCCCATCTACATAAACACCTTCCCATCTTCTCTCTTCAAAGGGCACAATTATAGATAATTTCAGTCCCTGACCAGAAGTCACTTGAGGGCAGAGTAGCATCTGAATTAATATAGGTGCAGCTGCTTCTGCCCATTTCTTTGGTGAGTAAAATCATTGCTGTTCCATCTTCTCTGGCTGCAGAGAGGCAACAAAGGTCTGGTATTCCTCAGGGTAGAAGCGTTTATATACATTGATTTTCCTCTTTATTTGCTTTGGTGTGTCCTGGTAATAGTTCTTCTCATCACGTGCCATAGCCTAGGAGGAGAAGAGTAAAGTTGTAATGAGCTACCTCAGCCTTAAGGAGCCTCCCACACCCAGAAAGCAAGCAGCATACTGTACACCAAGAGTCAACAAGCGGCTGTGCACAAAGCAAATGGAAAATTACAGCCACAGGAGTGCAGTCAGAAAATGTAGACTGAGCTCAGCTCAGGGTACAGAAAAGCACTATGGATGAAAAAAGGAAGCAAACAGGGAATTGAGTGTGCTCAGCAGTTTTTGCTTTTTAAAAAACAGAGAAACCAGGAAATACTGAAAATTGGACATTCTAATGCTAGCAGCTGCAACCATTCACTGTGGAGCTTCTAGAACAAAGAGTGCCTACCTTGTAGTTTTCACCATGGCTCCGGATCATGTGCTGGACATAGTCAATAAGATCTCGGGAGAGCGTCTCTGACTTCTTCTCTGGGAGGCTGGCCTCAGATTCCAACTCTTTAAGTGTTAAAAAGAAAAGGCAGTGAAGAAGAGGGAAGTGTTTTTGCACCCTCTGTGGCCTTTTTCGAGCAGAATAAATACAGCTAGATTCAACTAGTAGGATCACTGAGGTCACCCACGTTTCCTCTTGCAAACCAGCAGTTCACCATGCGGCGTGATCCTTTTGTGGCCGGCCAGCCTTTGGGGTCTAACAGAGGATGGGAGCAGGGGGTTGGTTCAGACAGAAGTGGCCTCCAAGATATAAAAACCGCACACAACAACAAAAGACTATGCATAATATCACCAGGGTTTCCCTGACAATGAGAGCTGATACACTCCAGAATACTGCACTTAATTTGAATAGGATAAATGGTTGCTCTCAGGATTTAGAGTTACAACAGTTCAGGTAAAAGGTTTCACTATGAGACATCAGGCCAACATATTCATTGCCAATATGAAGCTATTACCAACCATTTAGTACATATGGCTTCCGCACAGTTTTCACATTTGCTTCTTGTCCATCCACTTCCATTTTCAGCATCTGCATTTTAAAAGACATGGTAGATCATGTTTTATACAAATACATTTATTATGCATTGCTTTGTATGCTCTAAAATGCTACCTAACTCTATAAATTCCTTAGCTGGCATGTTTCCATCTTTCCTTAAGGACTTAAAAGGATTCCCAACCACCCCATTTGTTTTTCTAATTTCATCATTCTCATTAATATTAACTGGAGAAGATAAAAGCACCCGAATAACAAAGTTTCACTAGATTTGTCTTTCACAAAAGGGCAAATGCGATAACGCTTAAGGCAAACATGATGCAATGGTACTTCACCAATGCAGTCATTTCAGACTACTAAGTAACTCAAATTTTGGTAGCATCCCTAGAATAACTTATCATTAGGAAAGTCATTCTGCAGTACTGTCACAAACCCACACAATTTATGTTCCAAGGAACATTGGGATCATAGAATCTTAGAGTTGGAAGGTACCCGAGGATCGTCTTGTCCAACCCCCTGCAATGCAGAAATCTCAGCTAAAGCATCCATGACAGATGGCCCTCCAATCTCTGCTTAAAAACCTCCAAGGAAGGAGAGTGCACCACCTCTTGTGGGGTGTCAAATATATCCCTCATCAAGGGCGCCACAGAAAGATGGAGATTTTTACTAGATCAGCAGAAATACCATGGAAACATCCCAAGGTTTGGAATTCACCAAACTCTCCATCTGACCATTTGTGCTTCTGACCATCATCACCATCATTTTATTTGTATGCCGCCTTTCCATAGTTGAAACTATGCTCAAGGCGGCTTACAACACACTAAGATTTATATAATTACCTACATAACAAAAGTCATAAACAATAAATTAAACACATCGAAAGATGCAAAACCAAATGGAAAACAATTTCCACATAAATCATAAAATCTAAAACTAAAAATACAACATTAATATCAATAACAATTTAAAATGACATAGATAAAAAATATCTATGCAGCACCCATTGGTGGTTTCTAAGGACTTCTAATGATACAACCTCTGTGGTGTAGTGGTTAGAGTATCGGCCTAGGACCTGGGAGACCAGGGTTCAAACCCCCACCTGGTCACAAAGCTCACTGGGTAACCTTGGGTCAATCGCCACCTCACAGCCTAACTTCCTCATACAGTTGTTGTGCGGATTAAATGAGGAGGAGGAGAACCATATGTGCCACCTTGAGCTCACTGGAGAAGAAGGCAAGATATAAATGCAACAAGCAAGCGAACAAACAAACTTTTTTGCCCGTGGTTTCCCTGACTCATAAAGTTTTGTATCATTTTGACCATTGTATCTAGTATGAAGGGTGAAGTGGGAAAGCGTAAATGAGTTTGAAATGCTACCTTTTTACGTTCTCACAAACAGGTTTGAAATAACATTTCAGCAACTGCTTTCATGCATACCTTGTGTCTAGCCAAACACCACATGAGACCTTATGTCTTAGATATAGCATTTCCTTACTCAGAAATTTCCCCAGCTATTTCTGCAGCTGCCACTTTGTACATATTGTCTTACTAGGACTGCATCCATCACCTATAAACTGGTAGATAACCCAGTTTTGGCTGAATTCCCAACCTGGAAACTTTACCTACATATCACTACTCACCTGTTGCATTGTTTTCGGAATAGGTATAGCCTTGTTTGGATCAACAGCCAGGCCCATTTCTGCCAGGTTCTGCTTTACAGTTTTGGTCCTATCCCAGGCATGTCGGATTTGGGTACTGGACAGAGATGGGGGTTGAGAGGAGGAAAGAATCATACATTAATATTATGCATTCTTGAAGGGGTTCTTCCCCTCTCTGATAAGAATGGCCACACAACTAATTTAGAGAAAATATGAGCCACATTTGTCTACTCTAGACAGTTCTGCCTGATTTCATTAATTTTAAAAGCCTATTTGTTTCCTGGAATGCCTGCAGTCTTTCAACACATGGAAAGTAGGTAGAATGCTACTACATTTGAGGTGTCTATTACCACATGGTTCCACAGGAGTATTTTTAATTCTGATTTACTGATAGGTCTAGCTTGGGGAGGGTCTTTGAACTACGGTACCTTTAACTTTTCCCAGTGGCAATTCAGTACTGTACTTGATCTGGTGTAATCAATACCCTCCAAAATTGCTCCCAAGCATTACAAATGACAGAAAAACATTCTGTCTTCCATGGGCAGGATATGTAGAAAACACCGTACAGCATTTACTTATTTGTATTTCGTTGGTTGGTTGGTTTATATTCCACCTTTCTTCCCTCTTGGAGTTCAAGATTCACAGGATTCTCAGGTGGTCACCCATCCTGATGCTGATGAGACTTGCTTAGCTTCAGCCAAACGGCAGCGTCATGTACCCTTAGGCTATGCCCTGCATGACACTGTAGAAGGGATTACAGAACAGCCTTTCTCGCCAGTAATGGCTAAAATCAAACAAACGGAGGGTTGTACTTTTATCATCTTTTACTTTGGTGACTGGCTAAAGCTGAAAAAAAAGGTGGAAGTGCAGAAGCCAGCAGGTTCTGCTGTGCCTCTAGAGATGGCCAGTTCCTGCATTGAAGGGGTTGGACCAGATAACTCTTGGAGTCCCTTCCAATTCTACAATTCTATTTTTCTTCCTTTGGCATCCGGCTCTGCAGGGCCTCCGAGAGGGCACAACATTTTGTGGTTCACCTCAGGTGCCAAAATGCCTTGGGCCGGTCCTGGGTGAGTGAGCCCTGACTGAGATCCGACATGCCCCATCCCCACCCGGCTAAGACGCGAAGGTTGGTCGGCCAGAGGAGCCCCGCTCCTCTCTCTCTCTGCCGCCCTCTCTCTACTAAGCCCACGGGGCGCCTCCACTTCACCCCAATTCCCGGCCGCTCACCATTTTATGCGGGGCGCCGCGCGCTTGCGGAAAGCCCTGTTCTGCTTCTTGCGGTCGACATTATAGTTGTACTTTTGCCGCCGGCTCTTCCCTTTGGCTTTCGGCATCGCGGCGACTCAGCGGAATATCGGCCGCAGCAATCCAGCCACGCGCGGCTTCTAATACAGGTAGAAGAAGCCCGAGCCTCTGGGAGCGTCGCCCCGATGCCCGATGGGAAACGTAGTTCTGCGGACTCGGCAGACTCGATTGCGTTCCTGTAGGAGAGGAGAGTCAGGCGGACTACAACTCCCAGCAGCACGGCGGGCGGCGGCGGCGGGGAAATACACGTGCTCGTATTGCAGTTCCGGCCCACCCAAGAGCGCTATTGGGCTACAGTGGGCCCCGCGCGCCGCCTCGTTTGTACGGTAGCCGAAGAGGGTCAAAGCATAACTTAGCGCGAAGCAGCCTGTCCGCCTTTCCCGTGGTGTGGCCTCCTCCGGCGCCTGTTCGGCCATGGCTCAGAGCGCGCCGCCGCCCTTCGACCCCAACAACCCGCCCTTGATCGAGGGCTTCACGCCAACCGCCTACCACCCGGAGGAGGGGTTCGGGGACAAGTTCCGGCGCAAGACCCGCGAGAATCCGCTCGTGCCCATCGGTGAGAGGGAGGCCAGGGACCCGGGAGGGAGGGAGGCAGGGACCCTGATCCAACAGGGAGAGCTTTTTCCTTGCAGGTCAAACGGGGTCGCCCGGGCTTGGTGGGGCGCCGTCTGCTGCAGACCAGGCCCCGCCAATTATGTATTGGGTCAGCACCGGTCAAAGAAAAAAGCGGTCAAATACAGAAAGAGGGAAAGCAAAAGATGAGCAGGAGTTCCTGAGGATAGGAAGCTGATAGGAGTAAGGCTGCCATGCTTCTCTCCCCCAGCCCAGTGTGGCTTTGACACCAGCCAGACTTGACACACGGAAATGTCTTCTGCGAAACTTTCCTTGGCAGGGAGAGGGGTGGGGTAATCTCCACCAATCTCCAATGTTCTCCACCCTGGTGTTGGGGGTATTCATCTAGGCCCAGAGACAGGGTGACAATTGGGAGTTGAAGAGGGAAAGATGGTGAACTTGATTAAAGGGTTTGGATCTCTTGCTTGGTCATGAAGCTCCTTGGGTGACCTTGGGCCACTCACTGTCTTCTCTCAGCCCAATCTACCTCACAGGGTTGTTTTGGTTAAATGAGGAGGGGGAGAACATTGTACGCCGCCTTGAACGAAAAAGGGGGGCTATGAATGCAGTAAATAAACAAATAAAAAAGAATAAGAGTTGTGGCACAATTTTATTGTGTTATAAGCTTTCATGGAGTAGAACTCACTTCATCAGATGCATGGTGTGTGATCCTTGTACCTGACAACGGAGGATCACCTTTTTTGTCAGAGCTTTCCAAACTTTTCTAGTTGGTGACACACTTTTTGGACATATGTCATTTTGTGGCACAGTAATTCAGTTTTGGTTCATTTCGTGACACAGTAATTCAGTTTTACTAGCAAACCCTTTCCTGCCCCAGGAGGAGCAAGGGGAGCATTCATGCAACACATCTACACACTACAGCTGACACACTAATGTGTTGCAACACACAGTTTGGAAAGCTCTGCTCTCTGTGTCTGATGAAGTAGACTGCAGTAGCACACAAACAATTGTTCTAATGTGTTGCTTTTTAAGAGGCTACAAAGCTATGAACAGTAATCTAGATTTTGGGTTGTGTGGATTATGTTGAGGTGGGAGCTGTTGGAGGAGAAAACAAACAATGCAGCTACATAAGAACATGAATCATTCCTAAAATATAACTATAAATGAGCCTTTTACATATGTACTTTAAGGATGTATACAAACTCAATGAGAGGTGTGAGCCTGCAGTTTCATATGCTTTTGCTCTCATTTTGAAAAGATATTTATCCATGTTCTACAAATAAAAAATATATTTTTATACTATACTACTGATGGGAAGTACACTACACTACACTGAAATGTTTAAATGTTTCTTTGATTGTCCTTGAATCTTCCCACCGCATTTGCCATCCTCTCCTGCCACACCAGTGTGGTGCGCCATATCCTTTGAGAACTACTGACCTAGAGGAAGGAATTGTGTTTAGTCAAGTGATTCTCAAACTGAAATTGTTTTAAAACCACTGTGTTAGGTGTATTCCTCACTCAGGTGAGCAGAGTAGTGAAGTTCCGTGCAGCATTGATTCCCACCCACACCTGCCCAGGGATATGTGGTCAGATATTTCCTCCTTGGGAAACAGTCTCCAAGAGAAGAAGGGCTTCCTCTTCCTAATATTTTCCATTTGTAGAATTCTTTACTATCTTTGTCTTGAGGCTGGGGTTTCCCCCTGTGAGGTTATTCACTATTTTACCAAGGAGGAAGTGAGATTGACAGAAAATGTTTAGACTTACACCTCTTTGATGAAAACCTGACTTTCAGTTCACGGGGAAACATGGTCACATTTCCTTCTTTCTCTTGTCCTGCCCTTTAGGATGCCTTGGCACAGCAGGAGTTTTGGCCTATGGACTCATCTGCTTCAAGAAGGGAAATACCCTGCAGTCCCAGAGGATGATGCGGGCACGTGTTCTAGCCCAGGGCTTCACCGTCGCAGCCATATTGGTGGGTGTGGTGGTTGCGTCAATGAAACCAAAGAAGTGAACCTGCTACTGTTGTGCAGCCACGTGTGGCTATCCAGTATCATACTGAGTCTTTCTGCAATGGAGAGGGTGCTTTCCACACCTTGTGTGGTGATATTTTGTAGTGACCATCAGGTGCCAGATGGTTCCGTTAAATATATATATACTCTCACACACATACATAAAGCAGTGTTCACTTATTCAAGTAATTAAACCTTGACACTGGTATATAAGGATTTTTCTGCACTGATATTATTATGACAGGCAGCGAGCGTTTTGCACATGTTCAATTGACTCCCCAAGCGTCACTCTTGGAAATGACCATCCAAGTAGGACCAGAACCACTGCAAAGTGGTGCCACCCACCCTTGAGTCAGACAACCGCTCCAGAAGGATACCATCGTTGATTGTATTGAAAGCCACTGAGAGGTTGAGGAGAATTAACATGGGCACATTTCTCCTGTCTCTCTCCCAACAATCAGGGCAAGGCCACCCCCAAAGAAGATGTTATGAGGGTGGCCCTTGCCCTTGCCTCCCCACAAAGTGGCACCACCATTGGCCCACGTCTTTATGTAGCCCTTACTCCCCTGCTAGAATGAGCCCAGGTGGGTTTTTAATCAGTCAGTCAGCAGATTGTGGAGTGTTGCAAGCTTCCCTCTGTCCGCTAAAGGTGCAAAAAGGCCAGCTTCTTCAAGAGGAGGCAGCATTCCAGCAGCTGTGGAGGAGGACCAGATAAACAGCTCACCTCCTCCATTGATGGGCTCTGGCTGCTGCTACCTCCAAGAACAGTGTCCGTTCTCTCTTATATAGCCTTGTCGTAAAGCTGGTTTGGCTGACAAGGCCAATCAATATATTGGAGTAAAAGTTATTAGTAAAGCTAATTGGAACAAGTGTCTTTATTACCTTGGGGGCACTTTTGTGCTTCAAAACACTTCGGAAATTGCTCACATTTATCACAAGGCCTGAGGGCTGGAAGGGATGAGCAAAACCTTTGAATGAGAGGGAAATTTACTTCTAGTTGTGGTCACTCGATCTGAAATATTCACATTCGAGGGTGGAGTAGATTACGCCTCTTTGAACCGAAACAAAATTGTAAGCTTATTCTTTGCTCTCTTCTCCTTGCCAGCTGTTGGTATCTACATGCGCTGCTCTTGCACATGCTGGTTGTTTTATTACTGGTGCCAGCTTCTAGCCAACTGCTCTCAGTTCCTCTTGCATTCAGTGTCCTGCTCCCACCCAACACACACACACACACACACACACACACACACACGAGTTCTTACTTATGTGTAAGAAAAGGATCTTTATCCAGGTAATAGCAGAGGCGTAGCAGCAGACATAGAGCTCAAGAGTCATGATTCAGGAACAAGGCAAGACATTCAGAACTGGACACAAGTGATGTAAATGCCCCCAACAAGTTTCCATGACTTGGCCACCAAGCTTTTAAAGACAGGGCATGGTACACTCACTCGTGAGACTTGCTTGCCTTGCATGCATGTCCAGATTCCAAATGTGTACTCCGTTGGGGAGAGGGGAGTCTGCTCCCATCTGCAAAGATGGCACCTGCTTCTAGGCAACAAGACACCACCTTCCTGTTCAGTTGCTGCCACCCCCTATTCTGCCTCCACTAAGGCTATCTGCTCTGCAGGAAGCTGGGTGGGGGAGAGCTCGGAAGTAACTGACATTGGGGTGAAAAGGTGAGGTTTTCCAAACCAGATTCCCACCACTGAGCTTCCACCCACCCCAGTTTCTTCTTCCTCCTATATCAGGGCCTGCTAATCAAAACTCAGTCCCAACATTCAGGCTGATGACTTGAAAAGCCTGGGTATGGAAATGGATACATGACTTGGGCTGCAACAATCTACCCCCTTACCCTAGAGTAAGCCCCACTGAATTCAGTGGGACTTATTTTTGGGTAGATCTGTATAGAACTCTTGCTTATGGTTTATGCTGCACAGTTTGTGACTAAGAAAAGGATGTAAACATGGCTGATGCAAATTGCTGGAAGATGGGTTATGTAAATAAAGCAATTGGGCATCTTGGGACACATGAAGTTTTGAAGACACATGAAGTGGAGTGAGTGGAAAAACTTTATTTCCAAAGCATTATTTCATAACAATGAGTTAAGTATAGTGATGGCTGTCCACTGAATGCATTTCATTTGCTTTGATATAACCATTAGTCATCTGACTTATAAGACAAGCCATGTTAGGCAGATTCTTGGCAGCTTGCTCTGCTGAATAAGGCTGTTGATATATTATTAAGCTATTACAGGATTAACTATTTTCTTTCAGAAAAACCTCTTTGATTGTCCATTTATTGCACTGTAGAATCAAGTTTGTTTACATTTTCTGACTGGTAATTAAATGCAAGATTGAGGAAATCTGGTACGCAGAAGGAAGAGGTTTAGCCTAGTTGCCAGATCTGCTGAGGACAAATTATTCTATGAACAAATTCTTGCCAGTCGCTAAGGAAAAACAGATGCCACTGAAATAGTTTGAAATGGGGCACTTTGCATTCAAGAGCTATATGGCCCAAATCATAGAGAAGATTCACTTCATTAGATGGGAAGTTTGATACTGGATGAAGAGACATCAGAGAAGAATATGCAGAATGTTATTCTCAGATTTTTGGGAGTAATTGGCGGCAACCTCTGTTTTGTGTTGTATAAGCTCAGCAAATTGAATAGGTGCTGTGGAAATACTAGGGAAGCAAATAAGTTTTCAACAAAGAGACCTTCATAGAAAAGCTTTCCATTATTCTTTCTGCAACTACACACAATATTTTGTTACTTGTTCTCAGTTTGTCATCACCCAAAGTAATAGTGCCAGCATGATTCTTTTACAGCTCAATCTGTTTTGAGAACTGGTCTTAATTGGACCTGGATTCTGTGGCAGCTGTTTCCTATACACTGGATTGAATTTTTAAAATTCAATTTAAAGCTATCAATACCCATTGAAGTTACGACTCTCAGTAGAGCACTGTGTTTGTTTCCTCAGAAGTGCTGCTAAATACACAGTGGCCTACAGCAAGGGTAGGGAACCTGTCGTCCACACACCATTGGACTACAATTCAACCTCATGACGGGTTGATGGGAGTTATAGTCCAGCAGACATCTGAAGGTCCACAGAGTATCTTTCAATTCCCTACCAACAGAGACGGGGAACTTGTTGCCCCTCTGATGTTGGACTTTCAACTTCTTTAGCCCCAGTCAACATGGCCAGGAATGATGGGAATTGTAGTCCATCAACATCTAAAGGGCCACAGGTTCCTCATCTAATGGTACCTACTGCTATGTAATGCTATACAAGATTGTATTGTGAGGTGTTAATGGCCAGCTGTAAATTCTAGTCTTGTGTAGATAAATAAGAAGATAGTGACATAGCCAAAGCAGTTCCTGAGTCTAGAGGCATGAGCAACCAGAACAAAGTCAAAGAATTTGCCACCAAGTAACAACGCTGTATGCCCCTCTCTCCCTTCTAGTTATGTTTGTATATTAATAACTCCAAATTCTTTCACTGAAGCTGTTCTTTATTTTGGCTTTACTATTTGCAGCCACAAAATAAGAACTCTGCAATAAACGATTGCAACTATAGTGGGGCTTTTAATGTTTAGCCTTAGCCCTGTTCCTCCTAGCTCCTCCGTCACAATGGCTGCTTGGACATTAAGGATTTTAGATTCTCCAGGAGACTGGGCTTCTCCTGAATTAGCAGAAAGGCAGAGGTATCAGAACTGTTAGCTTTTCCAACAAAATTTCAGGGTGCAGAGGTCAGAAGCAAGATGTCTGGGCAGAGTTGTCTTACAGATTCATCCCGCCCCACCAGCAGTAATTCATTCTTGTCTTTTTAACACACTAAGTGATGTTTAAAAATGAGAATTACTCCAACTTTATGATATATATATAGAGAGAGATGTTCAGTGCCTTACAGAAGGAAATGTAGAACATGACTTATTTATGCCTAAGCCCAAAATATGCTTGGCTTATGTTGACAGGCAAACATTAAATGCAGTCTGTTGCTTTGCTGACTGTCAATGCAGAGTGCATAAGTTTAGTTTTATTTGCCAGCGGGGAAAGAAGAGGCATTTCCAAGAACACTTAAGACTATCTACAACAGACTTGCTTGTAGTTAGCTGCTTTCTTAAAGTGCATTACAATTCTTTATAGTGAAGTGCGTAGATATAATTCTGTCTCAGACAAATGTACAGACAAGCAACTTTTCATCAAGGTAACAGAATGTACCTGCCTGAAAAGATGAGTTAAAAGCTAATAAGCTTGAACCACCTTCTATTTCATAAAATTGGGGGTAATTAGAGTGTGCTAAAGAAGTGGATTTTCCCTTCGTTTCAGAGAACGTTTAAAATGAAAAAAGGAATTCAAATCTGCATCTGTGAACATAGGAAAACTACGGCTCATTTGAAAACATTCTGTATTTACTGCTTAAGAAAAGTTTGCCCCACAAATACCTTATAAACCAAGGCTAGAACTTTTTAATATAATACGGAGTAAGAAAGATCTATTATTAAGTGTGCCTCCCAAACATTGCTGACATAATTTCTTTCATAAGCTTCTTTTGTGGAACTTGTCTAAGGAAGCAACACCATGAATGCTTACCTAAGAGTAATTGTCACTGGAGACAGTGGAACTTCCAACTAACCATGCCTAGAATCAGTCTCTATGTGTCTAAAAACTCCCAGTGCTGCTTCAGAGAAAGGTATTCAAAATGGTCATCTCCCTCCTATAACAGAGGATTGCAAGGCTTCAGCCTAGGACAGAGTTGGGGAACCTGTGGCCTTCAAACTGGCCAATAATTAGCCCCAGCTAGCATGGCTGGTGTTCTGATAGTCTGGTAGGTCTTGTAGTTCAACAACAACTCAGAGGATCACATGCTCCCCAACTTTGGCCTAGGATATTAATTGCCCCAAATATTCTCCTCCCCCATTATTTCAAAGAAGCATGGAAAGAAAGATTCTGTGACTCCTTAAACTGTGAATGGAGTAGTGGCAGTTTATTGATAATAGTTGGTTTAACAAAGTCACAGATTGTAATGTTGGGGGACAGAGCAGCTGCAGGCCTCCCCCAAGTGCCCCCCAGCTTACTGCTGCCGCCACTTGGGGTGCCAGACATAGTAGTAGTGAAATTCTGGGCTGACTGGGTGATTCCAAGCAGGGGCTGCTTCTTGCTACTGGACTCCGGTGCAGATATTGATCCCGGGGTACAAAGCAAACAGCTTGGTTTCCAGAGGATACGGTGAGGAGTGGTCAGACCATCAATGCTCCCAAGCTGTCTCCTCTATGCTGTGAAGTTCTCTGTAGCTGATGGTGGAAGAGGGAGCTGCCATCAGTCTGGGATCTGTCACTCGTCTCTAGCTCTTCAGATAAACTTGAATGTGGATTGTTCCAGAGGAAACATCCCTAAAACGAACCCTTGTAAAAAGATATAGTTTTCTCTGCGCTTCTCTTAGCTAGCAACAACAGCCCCCAAACAGAGAGTTGTAATGCAGTTGTCACAAACTTTATATTGCAAATCAAAGCGTCTTTGGCCAACAGGGCATGTTGGACAAAGACTGGGCAGGCTTTTTGAGCTGCATATACCGCAAGGCTCCGATCCTGCAAGGTTGTTGTACTGCATAGGGTTTGTTTCCAAAGCTGTTGGGCTCCTGATTAGAGAAAAGCAAGAACCTTATTAAACATTTTACCTAAAAGAGCTGCCTTTCCCCATAGGAACACATCCTTTTTTCTGTAAGCTGTCAAGTCCCAGACCAACCCACTTTTTAACACTGTAAACTGTTTTCCCTGCACGATGCTTATCACATCATTTTTGAAGAGCAAGGTGCTGATGCGACAGTCCACATGTGGAAAATTCAAATGTTGTCAAAAGCTCCTTGAAAGAACTTTCCTGGGATAGGAACTTCCGTTTCCTCTGTCGATCTTTTTTTTATACACATGCTTCACTGTTCAAAAATGATACGGTGAGCTTAGCGCACGAGGACCTTAACACATTAACATGGACATAAGCAAATCACAAAAGCAGCTCCCTGCAAAGCCAACCCAAGTAAGGAGGTGAACCCTGATAATCTATGTATTCTGTGCTTACAGCTGTTTCTGTGGTCTTGAAAACTTTGCCGACAATGCACAACCAGCCCAGATCCCCCTCCCCCAAATGGCCATATATTCATGAGACTCCAAAATACGCACTTGCAGCCACATGTGGCCATTGTGCTTTTCTGCTATTAGGTTCACATTCACTCAAGGTGAAGAATCTTCATTAGAGGAGCCAAGCAGCCCCTCACAGCAGAACATACCCCCAATGGGAAAATGAGCGATCTGTCGGCTCCTCTCCTGGTACAAAGGAAGAGATGGCAGGAGCCTAAGATACAGGCCAGCAGTATGGAAAGGGACAAATACTACAGAATCATCACTTACTCTTCACACAGCACTGGGAGAGTGGACTGGTCTCAGTGTAATTTCAGCTCCACGTTTGTTACCTGGGCTGGGGAAACCTAATGGCAGCAAGGTCATCAGCTGCACCATAAGGTGTCCAGCAAATCTCTGAATCTTTATAGAGGGAAATCAGCCTTCAAATCAAACGTGTAGGCTGAAATCCTACACCCACTTACTTAGCAGTAAACCTCATTGAACTCCATGGGACTTACTTCTGAACAGACATGATTGTGCTGGTGAAGTGTTTTAAAACTGCAATCCTGTGCATATATATATATATGGAAGAAAGCCCTGTTGGATATACTGTGGCACTTTGTTCCAAGCTGCACAGGAATGCATTCTCAAGTACAGTATTTGATTTGGGGGTGTTGACTTACTATGGGTGGCGGCAGTAAGAGAATGGACCTTGGCTTGCTTAGAAGCCCAAAAGGCATAGACAGCTCCTAGTGGGAGATGAGTACAGAATTGCCCTGCTTTCATCTACCTTCCCTTTGAAGCACACAAACTGAAAGAAGCAATCTCTCCGAGAAAAATCCAGTTAACCCCATATCACGTCCCTGTGCTTAGTGTTGCCTTTGCAAATACAGAATCATATGCCTTGAGGGGCACATGTGTGCATGTAAATGAGAGAGGTGGGGAATGAGAATATGAAGGAAGTGCTCAGGATTCTTTCTTATATTCTTCCCCTTCTACATCTCCTAAGCCAAAACAGGCTTTTGATTCAGGAATAACTAACTGGTGGTGGGGAGAAGCAGCATTCCACTCAGTGGAAGCAAGTCTTAGCACAATGGCTTGTTGTCGTTTCCCCCTGCAGCTCTTTCATGACTTCAAACAGATCTTAAGTTCAGCCCCTCCATTACAATTTCAGCACACCAAGTCTTTAGGTCAGTTTTCCTCATTGCCCTCTCTCCCTTTTGCACATCCCTCCCCAGGGCTTGCAGACACCCTCCTCTTTCTCTGCCAAGCCTGCCAGGCACCAGCTCGGAAGCACGACTAAGCTCCAACACTCTAGCTACTCTCGGGGGTCACCGCTCACTCTCGCTGGGGGTAAGCAGCAACAAGAGCGGAGCCCCTAACTTGGGGAAACCTACATGCAGCCTTGGGCTCCAATTGAGTGGTGCCTCCCGGGTCTGGTACAAAGTATTGGGAAAGTGAACTGTGTTTTGCCTACTCTACCGGCCAAGTCTGATGAGATAAACAGGGGCCAGGGAAGCCTGTGAATGCCCCAGACGCTAAAACAGGGAGTGACCTTTCTCGAAGGCAGCAGGTGTGTGAACCAAGGAGGGCAGCTGCCCAAGGAACCACGCAGTTAATAAATATGTGGAAAAAGATACCAATGCACCCTTTAAGCAAAGTAAAACCAAGGGGGAGGGGTACAGGCAACCACTCGGCCCGAGTGACGCAAACGCACGGAGGAGAGAGGAAGGGGCAGGGGTGGGATGCTTTTGGTGTCCCCTACTGGTGGCCGTCTAAGCCTGTTGTTGTGCAGCAGCGAAATCCGCTGGCCAAAGAGCAACTCGGCATCCTCACCCCGGCCCCCGGCCCAGCCCCCAGCCCCTTTCCGGCTTGGCTAGCGGGCCAGGGGTGTCTGTTTGAGAGAGATCAGCACAGAGCGCATGCGCGACACATCCTTGGACTGCTTGCTGCTCTTGGGGTTGAAGTCACAGAGTTGGGCCACTTTCTCCCATTCGGTGCCGGGCATCTCTTCCTTGGACTCCTTCATGAAGGCTTCCTCCGAGGCCCTGGAGAAGGAGGCAAGCGAGCAAAGGGTCAGGCTCAGAAAAAAAAGCAGGCAAGCACCTCCATATCTACGGTACTATGCCAGTCAGGTAGCCAAGAGGAATTGCTTGGTTAACTGGAGACTGAAAATAGATTGCCTTTCACATCAAAAGAAGATTAAAGGGCACTGCCACTTACTTATCAGGAAAGAACAATGAACAATAAAGGAACGGCCTTAAGTGGCAGAGAAACACAAAGCACAATTAGTAATGGAAACGCTTTCCTCACGTGTCATGTTTGTTATAGCTGCTATAATGTGGCGTTGCTTTAATTATGTGTAAGTTATTTCGGAACATGTTTGTATTTCTAAGTCGCTTTGAGTTCACCTCTGTGAACTCAAACAAATTAATATTATTTGTTTCCTTTTCTGCAATAAAAAGTTCTCAAAAGAAAAGAAACGGCACATAAAGGTCAGCCAAAACCCTCTTGGGATAGGAATGGCTCTGAGTACAACAATATCAAAGAAGCACTAGACTTTCTAAAGGAAACTGGGGGAAACTATTCAGTCAAATGGCTGCACTCACGCTCTGAATATATGCCTGGAAACTCTCTGTATAAAAGGGGGGAACCAATGCAGCATTAGCCTATCCTGAAACATTTGCAGAAGCCCTTTCTTCACTTGTAAAATGTCTGGCAACAAAGAGACCCTCAAATGCACACCTGAGCTCTTGTGTAACTAGCAAACTTAAGCTTAGGGAATAGAGCCCAACAGCCACATACAGGAGATCCATTTAGGAAAGGACCCAAAGGAGAAAAGAGCAATAGAGAGACGTACACGTAGCCAATCACATCGGCATCCGGCTGCTGGTAAAAGGCTTTGTCAGCAATCCTACGGTGTGACCCAGAGACAGAAGAAAGCAGCACAGCAGAGAGGCAGCAAAGAGTTAAAGAGAGAAAGGTGGGTTAGAATCAGACAAAGCAGGAGACTACGCATGGGGAAGCTCCCATGGGTTGGTTAGAGATTTGTTAGTCAAATGCTTAGAAGTGACAGAAGGCAGCCCCCTTATGGAGATGAAATATTTGGCATGGTCCATAACCCCACAAAAACAGAGACAGCAGCTTCTAGAAAGCAGCCAGCCCAAATCTCAGATTGACTGCAAAGGAAACCCATCCAGGATGTTTGCAGTAACTAGTCTGACAACGCCTTGAAGTCATGCAGCAGATAATGTGGAAAGGCTCGCCTGCGTGTTGCAGATCTGAATGATGAGGCACTCTCACCAGAATCCATTATTTGGCCCGTATAAATTTATTGCACAGCTGTGATGGTGTGGCCTGGTAGAAATATGGTTCAGGGTTTTTATCTCCAAGCTCCCTTACCCAGCCTGACCCCAGGGATGTGTGGGAGCCAAAAGAGCGAGGTCCCTTTTCTCAGGCTGCATTATGCCCAGGGGCAGGTCTGATACTTTGGCAGGTGCCAGGGGTGAAGTGAGCTATTATTGGCAGGGGCTAAAAGCTGTCCCTCCCAGCCGTACCTGTTGTTGGCCCGGTTCCTCTCCATCTGCTCATTTTGCCGCAAGTTCCACTCTTCCAAGTCCTTCTTGGCCTTTTCACGCCATTCCTGCTCTAACACCTTGGAGGTCACTTCTGAAAGGAGAAGGACACATAATTGCTGGGCAGAAGGGCGGTGACAGAGAGAAGTCTCAGCCGCAGCCCAGCACCTCACAAAGCTGGCTCTGAGGAGATGTTGAGAATAAAACCTAGGACCTTCTCCATGCTAAGCAGATGCCGCACCAGTGAGCTGCTGCCCTTTTGCCACAGCCCTTGGAAGGAAGCTGAGGCAGGGAGCTGCTGACTGTAATGATATGGAAGAGCCCCTTCACAAGATATAGCCCAAGTGCTGCTCTAAGCAGTCGCAAAACACAGATAACAAGGGCAAAGAAGTGGGCACACAGGCAGTGGACTAAGTGGAAATGAGGGAGGAGCGTAAGCACTAGGGGACAAATCAGTGTACACCCAACTAGTCAGGCTCTGAGTTATGAAGGAGGCCTACTGGTTCTGTATATCTAGCTGAAGGCCCATGAAAATAGCTCTCCTGAGGTGAAGCTTGTGGCTAAAATTCTGTCTAGAACCCCTAATGTATACAGTGGTACCTCGCAAGACGAATGCCTCGCAAGACAAAAGTGTTTTTGGTTTTTTGAGTTGCTTCGCAAGACGATTTTCCCTATGGGCTTGCTTTGCAAGACGGAAATGTCTTGCAAGTTTGTTTCCTTTTTCTTAACACCGTTAATACAGTTGCGACTTGACTTCGAGGAGCAACTCATAGCACGCGTTGTGGTAGCCTTTTTTGAGGTTTTTGAAGACTTTGGTGATTTTTGAAGCTTTTCCAAAACTTTTCCGAAACCGTGCTTCGCAAGACGAAAAAAATCGCAAGACGAAAAAACTCGCGGAACGAATTAATTTCGTCTTGCGAGGCACCACTGTATGTCTTTTCCTACTGCCTTCTCACTATATATGGATGTTTTAGGTTCCATTGCCATCTTCTTAATTATTCTATGTTTCCCAACTTCCTCAGCCCCAGCCACATCTATGTCCCTATTATCCTAGTGGCTTTTCATCCCCCCCCAACCCTCTACAGCCCTAAGATGAAGTTAGAAGTACAAAACAGACATTTGTACAGTTTATATTTGCTCCTTCTCATTCCTACCCAACTCCTGCAGTCTCTTTTTCTGCTCCTCTCGCCATTTGCGGATGCTCTCAGGCTCCTGCGTCAGCCGGTCAGCTCTAGCAATGGCTGCATAGGCATCTGTGGGCCCATTGGATTCCTTTAAGCAAAAACAACAGTTCGTGAGATCCAGGCTCTCTTTATTCATAAAAGCATTTATGTATCACCTGTATCATAAAATATATCAAAGCAGTTTGCAATAATCTATGTAAAATAAAACACATACAATATAAATAAATAATAATAATAATATTTTTTTTACTTATACCCCGCCCATCTGGCTGGGTTTCCACAGCCACACTGGGCAGCTCCCAACAGAATATTAAAAACAACACAAAACAACAAACATTAAAAACTTCCCTAAACAGGGCTGCCTTCAGATGTCTTCTAAAAATCAGATAGTTGTTTATTTCCTAGACATCTGATGGGAGGGCGTTCCACAGGGCGGGCAGCACTACCAAGAAGGCCCTTTGCCTGGTTCCCTGTAACCTCACTTCCCACAGTGAAGGAACGCCCAGAAGGCCCTCGGAATTGGACCTCAGTGTCTGGGCTGCACGATGGGGGTGGAGACGCTCCTTCAGGTATACTGGGCTGTCAGAGTCCATCAACTAACTGTTATGGAAATATGCATTCTGAATTGCCTGCATGAGCCAGGCAGAATAGATAAGTTTTCAGTAAGCATTTAAAAGTTGAAACGAAAGGTGCCTGCTCTATTGGCAGAGTATTCCACAGGACCGGGCCACCAACACTAAAGGCTCTATTTTGACGTGGATTTGACATCAAATGAGCTTTGGCAACTCACCCAAAACCACAGTTCCGGGTTCCTTCAACCCACAGCCAAGACAACCTCTGTCGGGGAAGCTGTGGAGCAGTAGGTTGGGCATCCCTAACCTGTCTCGTTGACCCAACACCAGATGCAGGCCCCCAAGAGAGAGGAGTTTCCCAGTGGTAGGAAGTGAACTCCTCTCCCATACCCACCCATAGTCTCAGTCAACCACAAATCTACGTGGAATAAGAAGCAGCATGAAAAGTCTTGCGCCAAATTATGGTGAAGTCCTAATCCTAGTTCTCCAGCAGATATAAACAACCTTTTCCGAAGGTCCATTCTGTCAACAAGGTGGAAAAGAATGGAAACTGTGAAGAAGGTTCAAGAGTCCTAGCACAACTGCCTGAAAATTATGGTACTATTTATTTATTCATTCATTTATTTCATTTACGAATTGTTTCCCATGAGGTATCCCAAAGTGATTTACACATATATAAAACATAAAAAAGAAGGTAAAGGACCCCTGACAGTTAAGTCCAGTCGCGAATGACTCTGGGGTTGTGGCGCTCATCTCACTTTACTGGCCAAGGGAGCCGACGTTTATCCGCAGACAGTTTTTCCAGGTCATGTGGCCAGCATGACTAAGCCGCTACTGGTGAAACCAGAGCAGTGCACGGAAACGCCGTTTACTTTCCCGCCAGAGCGGTACCTATTTATCTACTTGCACTTTCACGTGCTTTTGAACTGGTAGGTTGGCAGGAGCTGGGACCGAACAACGGGAGCTCACCCCATAGTGGATATTTGAACCACCGACCTTCTGACCAGCAAGCCCTAGGCTCAGTGGTTTAGACCACAGCACCACATATTTTTATATATATATATATATATATAACACCCCAACTTTACACGGGAAGACACCCCAACTTTTACACGGGAAGACACCCGAGAACACCAAAACCTGCATATATATATATATATATATATATATATATATATATACACACACACACACACACACACACACAGGCCTAAAATCAGTTCAATTCCAAGAGAGATACCAACTGGGGTAAAGATTTCAGAAGGCTTGCTGAAAGATAATAGAGAAGGTGACCGATATGCAACGGGAGGGACTTTCGAAGGGTAGGTGCTGCACACTAAAGGCCCAATTGCAACACCATGTGGAATGAACCGCCTGGTAGGATGGTTTTTGCAGTGATCAGTTGAGTATGTAGGGGGTGAGACAACATTTTAGGTATCCTAGACCCAAGCTGCATAGGGTTTTCTGCATCAGTACGTACCAGCACCTTGAACCTAGTCTGGTATAAGCTTATAGGAACAGGTCCTTCTGAAAGCTACACTCCTATGCTGCCCAATAGAAACCCTTCATCAGCCATGTACCTGCCCAGCCTTATCCAACGTGCTATTCGCTGCCAACGTGATTTTCATGTCTGTGTAACAGGCAAGCACCTACAGTTCTAAGGAGGAACGGCTGCAAGTTGTTCCTCTGTGATGTCATCCCTCTGATGTCACAGTCGGTCTTGAGGAGGTTAGTGCCTTCTTGAGGAGATCTTTCTCTGATCCTAGCCAGGCACTTGTTTCAATCGGCTCTAAAACCACCTTGCCGCCACCCAGGGCCATTGTCATGGCAATTACTACAGCCTCAAGCTGAAATCATGCAGGAAGTGCTAGAAGTGGTCACCTTTATTTAAAGGCTAGTAATCATAGTAATTAAATAAGCCAGCTGCAGGCATTTGAGAAGGCCCACAGTATCGGTTCCATTTACATACAACATTTTATTGGTCCACAGTCAGACTCCTTGCAGTTGATTAAGCAGCTCTCCCACCTAGCCTTTCCATCTCATTCCAAACATCAGAATCAATTGAAGCATTTATTTGAATTTTAGATTCCATTTCAAAAAGAAAGCAAATTTATATGACCAAATTTATACAAATCAAGTAATAAAATTGTTTCTGGACTGGGCCACTGAAGGTGAGGAGGGAGGAGAATGAGATTTCCCTCAAAGCAACAACAGAGTCTTGCCCCATGCAAAAAGCTAGTGTGTCACGGAGAAAGGTTCAAGTCTAGAATCCCCTTCACCTCTCTAAATGGTTCAGTCCAGGAACAGTATCACTACGGTTAGGAACTGTACCCTGAAAAGAGTTTTCCCGTGATATAAAAAGATAAATGGGACTGGGTGGCAGGTGGAGGCTGAATCTAGTGAGACTGCAGATCACGCCCAGGCAGAAGTCCCCCCCCCTGCCCTACATCAGGGATGTGGGTGACCTGTGGCCTTATGGGTGTACTTTGACTCCAACTCCCTCAGCTCCAGCCACCATGGCCAAAACAGTGAAGGGATAGGAACTCAGCCAATTCAGGAAAAGGTTGAGGGCTTTTCCACAGATGCCACAAGATTCTTCTTCATTTTTGCACCAACAGACTAACACAGCTAGCTCTCTGGAACAGATACCTGAAGATAGTTAGCCATTCAGTAGTCAAGCTATGCAAGCAGGGACAGGACTGGCTGAAAGCTGAAAGAATCCCACTATAAGAGGGAACGGCTGACCTTACCATTAGGCAACGTGAGGTAGCTGCCTGATTTTGAGTGTCATGAAAAGGCAACAAGCTGTTGGCTCTTTTATTATGATTGCATTTTTACTGTTAGCACTTGTGCCAGAATAACTTGTGCAGCCTTACCATTCTGTGGGATGGGGTGCTATTTCCTACACTGGGCTGCCCCTGAATTCCCACAGAATGCACTTTCCCCTTAAGTTTCATGGGGCGCTACAGAATTAGCCTATCTAATTCTCCCGGTTTGTTTGCCATTCCTTCTTGCAACGTCTGTTGTTGCAACAAAGCTGCAGTGCAGGAATAATTTGATAATGGGGTAGAATTGGCCACACCTGGTCTCTTGTGAGAGGCAGTGAGGTAAAGACAAGGAATGTGTCACTAGAGAGAAATGTGATACATGGCTAGTAGCCACAGGAAGGGAAACATTAAAGTCAGATGAGGTGGGGTGTGGCAAAAAGGCTGCACTCGCATCTAGTCCTCAAGGAAGTTTTTATCAGCCTACAACATAGAAACCAACTCCTAGAGGCTGAGGTGTCTGTGCCTCTCCCAATTAAATATTTGAGCCACCACCCAAGTTGATGGGCATTGCCATTCAACTGGTGTGTGTGCACCTTGTCATGTGATGGATTGTGCTGGGCAGGGATTACCTGCCCCCCCCCAATATTTTATTCAAGATGGCACCCCTGGCCAACAGGTTGTTGCCTAGAGTTTTGGTTTGCACCAAATCAGCTCTATATTGGGGGCATCACTTTCTTCTTACTTCTCCTGTAACAACAAGAGGACTCCACACTTTCCCCTCAATTCCTAGGCTCTTGAAGGGAAATTATTCCAGCCCCAAAACTGGTGTCCCTCGTGGAATGTGCAAATGAACACATCCACACCTCCAGCCTGACGAAACTGGCCAAGACTGCCTTAAAAGTCTGGCTGGACTATTTCCCAAAGAGTAAACATGCTTTGACAGATGTGCATGCAAGCATTATTCAGATGTTAGCACTGTCACTCCAATATAATTCCACAAGTATTTCCCACCATGCCTCAAACTTTCTCTACAACCTTGAGTTCACTATTTTGGCTGGCTCTCTGGCTATATGAAAGCTTAGGGTCCACAAACTGTTATCTTGTTTGTTATGTCTGGAAGCAAGTAAGAGAAGGTAATGCCATAGCTCAAGGGGGGGGAGAGCATCTGCTCTGCATACAAAAGACCCCAGGTTCAATTCCCAGCTTCTCTAGGTAGGGGGGAATTCCTTGCCTGAAACTCTGGATAGCTTCTGGCAGGTCCTTGTAGACAACACTGGGCTAGGTGAGCCAATGGTCATACTGTATAAGGCAACGTCCTATGTTCCTAAAGATAGGTGGGTTGCTTTTCCAGAATCAAAAGTCAGATTCCAAGGGGGTTCAAGTTGGAGAGCGAAAGGTGGCTGCAATTAAGCAGAAAGCTCTCTCAGCTTCACAACTATTGCTGCTTGTCGTGTAGAGCAAGGCTATTGGATTACCCTCCACCCGCACCCGAATCCGCTAATCTAATTAAGTCTACCCATCTCCAATGGGATTACGCTGCTATAAAGCAAGTCGATACCACAACAAGGAGGGAGTGAAGCACTCCACAACAGCCGCTGCCTCTCCATCTACCCGAGCAGACCGGGCTTGTTCCTACGTCATGGTGTGGGATGGCATCCGAAAGGGCAGCGCGTGTTGAATTCCTCCTTGGCAGCTTGTAAGTGCTTGCCCACACACAGCATTGTAAGAGCGCTAAGCAACTGGAGGCTAATGTCAGCAGAAACGGGAGGCTAAAAGGCCCGTGTGGAGGGAGAAGGTGCGCTTACGGAGCACCATCTGACTAGAACGCAAAATACAGCACAAAACTATTATTTCAGCCGTCATATCAGTAGCAATCACAGCAGCACAACATAGGAACCATGTGTGCCCGCCAGATAACCATTCAGTTTTCAAGACCAAAACAAAACAAAATCCAACCAACCCACAGACAGACAACGAAAGCCTCTGACTTCTAGGACTTTGGTCCATTTGGCTCAGTGTTGTCTACACTGACTGGCAGCAATTCTCCAGGATAGCAGGAACGGGGACATTCCCAGCCCGAGTTGGAGAAGCTGCACATTGAGCAAGGGGCCTTCAGCATGCAAAGAAAGCCAGGTCCTCTACCACTGAGCTGTGGCTCTTCCCCATCTAGATCCACATCCCTGCTATGTGTGATGCCCATAAGCAGCTGCAAGGGTTGAATTATTCTAGGGGAAGAGAATGTTATAGCCAATCTCAACTGGAAACAGAAGGACTGGTGGCTAGTATTCCAGATCACCCACAAACCTGTCCCCTTTTCTTTGAGAAAACTGCAAAGAAACCAATAGTATCAGATGAGATGCCTTAAAGAACCTGCTCTGAACTCTGGGGGGTCTTGTAATTCCTGCTGGGCATCTACTACACAGGCTACATTCACTGGCCCCATAGACCACAAGTTTCTCTCAGAGGATCTCACCTGATAGAGGTCTCCGTTCACGGTGGCCCCATTGCTGTCAAAATCAGCTGCAGAAGAAAAAAATAAAAACATGTTAGTAGCCATTTGTGCCACTTAGGCTAATGGAAGCTGTAGCCAAAAACATCTGGAAGGCAGCAGGTTGGGGAAAGGCTGGTGGAATGGGTTATAATATGGGACCAGCTGTCTGCCTCATGGTTTGAGTGGGTTACAAAAGTGGGAGGTCTGTGTCAGACAGGTAAACACAGCAATGTGTGGAAGCTGGAAGACAGAGAGAAAATACAGAGTCTCAGAATCTGGGGACAGAAAGTGCAGGAATCTGGAATGCTCACCCCTATATTCCAGCACCCCAAAATAAGTTCTAAGTAGCCAAGCCAATGGTTGTGGTTGCTGTTAGAGTCTTTGGTGCAACCTTCTCAGTAAAAGCCAGTCCATCAATTTGCGCCTCATTTTCATTAATCTCTAAGCCCTTGAATAAGGACCTGGTAACTGTGGCACCTGTGAGCAACTGCTGAGATCAGAAGTTCTGCAGTTATTAGAAGCCAGAAGCCCCCTTTCCTCAGCACTGCAAGCAAATCTGATAGCAGGAGGTGATAGGAATTTACTTCGAAATAAGTCCCCACTGAGTTAAATGGGACACTGTAATTTTTGCACTGAGGGTAAGGCACAGTGGGATGTTACTAAGAAAAGCTGGTTAGATGAGGGTGCAAATTGTGGGCATGGATTTCTGTAAACTAGAATTTAATTCATCAGATGCATGAACTGGTGTGGGGAAATAGTGGGAATATAGGAAAGAGTGGGTGGATGTACAATGGAAGAAACAAAATTAAGTTAACAAATCAGCAGCCTGATCCCATACATGTTTACTTAGAGGTCAACGGAAATATATACAGTCCTTGAGATCAGCCAGTCCACAAGAAGAAGGGGGCTGACTCCAGATACTTAATGGGCTGCAAAGAAGCGGGTGATCCCTTGTCAACTGTTTAAACAGGTCCTGAGACTCTAGGCCGCATGCTTGGAAAGGCCAAATGGGGACAGTGTGTTTTCAGTTCACAAGGCCTTTGAAAACAGTAACTATGGCTAAAGAGTGTAACTTTCTTGCTTGGGAAGAAGATCGATTCAGGGCTCCTGACTAAGCAGAGCCAAGAATGGACTTGTCTTTTTCACTTGTTCTGTTTTCAACAGCAGCATGACATGCAGAAATTAAGAAGCTTTTTTGGCAATGAGACCCAGCAGTGGAAAATCCCCACAACCCAGGCTGATGGCAAAGGCACAGGAGCAGGCCAGCTGAAAAAGTTGACAACCCTCAGCAGAGCTAAGGCAAAGGAGGAGAGTAAGCCAAAGGACAAAGGGGCAGCATTCCTTGTGCTTTTCCCATGGTAAGAGAACCTATTCCTTCCTTTCCTTACGCCACTTCCTTGTAGATGCCCTTGCTTTTCCTTGGCACCATGCACACACCCTAAATATTTGGCTACACCCAGGAAGCCTGGATCTGGTCTGGCAACATTTGTAAGGACTCCTCCCAAAGTCGGCCTTGAGCCTCAGGAGGCCTGTCTCCTAAGAATGGTCCCTTCCTTCTACACCATCTCTCCCCAGCCTAGCACTTGGGCCTAATACTTGCCTGCCTCATCCCAGCCAAGCTAGTGAGAGCTCTCTCTGTGGGTCACACTGGGGTTGTTCTGCCTTGGGCCAACTGTTCACACCTGGCCAAAAGATGCTAACTATTCAAAGATCCTAGGTGTAGAAGGGGGCGTCTGCATCAGCAGCTGGTTGGCCCAGATGGTGTTTGAGACCTCTCCCAACTCTGATTCCCTTCCTGTGGCTGCAGAGGTTGTCCTGAAGAGTAAAAGGCCTCTGTTTCCTATGAGTCCCAAATCCAAAGCACACCTGCTTCCTGACCTAAAGGGCTGAGCTAGAAAAAAGGAGGACAGTGCTCTACCAAAGACTGCACCAAAAGCAGGCAAAGTTATGATTTGTAGCAGAGGCAAAGACATCTCTGCCAGGATGCTGATGGCCAAGGCCTTGGGGATGGCAGACAGGGAGTACCACTTCCTCTTCTCCCACCCCAAGGAGAGGCAGGGGAACCTCAGAGGCTCCCTCCAAGCCGGCCTTCTTTCTACCGCTTCATCTTCATACCCAGGCCGAGGAGGAATGCACAGAAACACGGGGAGCTGCCCCAGCCCCGAGTCCGGCAACTGGTCCATCTAGCGGCGGTACTGGCAGCAGGGTCGAACCCGCGACCTTCTGCATGCCAAGCAGGTGTCCCGCGGCGCCTCCCCCGCCCGCACCCCCGAGAAGCCCGGCTCGCCCGCCGCATCTCGGCGCAGGCCCGCGCGCCGCTTCTTTGCCCTTCGCCGCTCCGGCTCACCCGGCGCCTCGGCTGCCTCCTGGCTGCCTCCCGCGGCCCCGTCGGCGGTGCTGAAGCCCTCGTCGTTCTCGATGCCCGCGATCTCGCTCTCTTGCTGAGCCAGGAAAGCGGCGGCCGGGTCCTCTTCGGCGGCCTCGGCTGCTCCGCTCTCCGACGAGGAGAAGAAACCGAAATCATCAGCCATGTTGCTTCCCCCACTCCGCCAGCTGCGCCTCCCGACCCTTTCCTTCCTCGAGGACGACGGGCAGGCGACCCGAGCGGCGCCGACGGCGCTCCTTGGCTGCAAAGGTAGGCGCAGAGAACCGCCAAGCGACGAGGAAGCCCGGGCTCAGCTGTCACTGCGGCGGCGGCGGCGTCGGGCGGCGTCGGGAGGAGCCTCGCCGCGAGAGGACGGGCGAAGGGAGGTGACCTCACCAGCCAGGCTGCCGAGGAGCCCCGGAGCCGCGAGGGGGAAGCACTGCGGCGCCTCCTGCTCGCCATCGGGCTGGCCCGGCGTTACCGCCGCCGTCGAAAATCAGAGCAGTTCCGCCCAGGGAGAGTTTTGCCAGCAACCGTGACGGCGGCAAAAGATGGCATCTTAAGGCTGCCGGACTTATTTTTGGCTAGTCACCTTTAGCAGCCCTTCTGGAAATTCCAAAATCGAGAAAATAAGGGCAATTAGGCCAAAAATTGATTTGATTAGGCCAAAATGGCACAAAATAGCTTTGGACTTGCAAAGTTCTTCAGAGCTCTTCATCGGGCTATGAAGTGAAACTAAAAGGAAAAGATGGCTGATGGTGAAAGCCAAGGAATCTGCAGCTGGGCTGCAGGCTCAAGCTGGACTGTTAGCTAGGGAAGGTAGCAGACATTCCAGTGAAGCTCGGTTGGGTGTCTTGCAGGTTTTGCTGTACACCAAAGGTTGGTTAGGGGGAGGAAGAGACAAAAAGTAGTTGACACACACACAGAGAGAGATGGGAATATAAAGGCCAGCTGTCACTCAGGCCTGTCTACATCCGTAAATGAAAAAACAGAGATTCCTTGGTAGGTGAAACCAGGAATAAAGAGGAACTTGGCAGTTTGTGTAGTCTTATGAGTTTGCAGGTGCCAGATCTCTCTAATCTCCAGATCCAGTAAATGTTAGAATTTAATCAAGGGTTGGGGTGTTAAGGTGAGTAGGAGGCACTTCTAATTGCTGGATTCAGCAAGTGTTAATAGTTAATCAAGCCGGGTTAACCTCCTTAAGGAAATAAAGGATTAAAGGGCTTGTGCTAGACAGCAAATGGATAGGGCCCCATTACTCAACAGACAAAGCCAGAGTTTAGAGTAGAAAGGTTAGGAAAGATGTGACTTAGAAGGGAAGCAGCAATCTGGAGAGAGAAGGAGAGCAATGTTAGAGACCAATGTTTGCTTTCTGTTTGAATCCAAGACTGTGGCTATGGGAACAACATGATCCTCTTGGGGTGTTGATACTGTGAGCCCCTCCATTGTAGGACCAGGTTGTACATATGTACATATAAACCATATATCCTAAAGACGCCACGGTGTCTGCTGTGCCTCACTTGCAAAAGGAAACACAAACTCTGGGTAAGTGCCTGAAACCCCTGGAATCTTGCACCGCTCAGATATTGGGGTGTCACGCAACAATATTAACAAAGCCAGAGATTCATTCTAGTGATGTGCTAGGAAAAAACAAACCCGAACTCCCAATTGTGAGCTTTTAATGCCATGTTGGGCTTCACTGTATAAATTAATTTAATTAAAAATAGTTATAATCCACCTTTACCTAAAGGTCTCGGGGTAGAAATATACTTGGTCCAAACCCAAGAGTTAAATAGCATTAAACAAAATGCAGAATTTAGATACAGTTAAAACCACCAGCAGCATTCAAATATGCAATACACCCCACTCCTCCCTGAAAAAGAGCAAAGAGATGTGACTTCACCTGCTGATGAAGCGACACTGATGTTATGGCAAGCCGTACCTCGGGGAGGTCATTCCAAAGGTGATGAGCCACTGCAAGAAAAGCCCAGTCTCTGGGCTATTTGGATGAGAAGCAGCCTGCAGAGGCCAATGTATAAGGCAGAGACAATATCCTTCAAAGCATCCATCTCACAGTCTTATTTCAACTCAATGAACTTTGCACTAGTCTATCTTATTTGTTCATTTCATTTCTATACCACCAGGGCATTGTACACACAAATCCAATAAAATTGCATCCCAAATCAAAGGCCATAAAATCATGCCCTCACATCATGAACCACTGTTGTAGGTGGGACCACGACCAGGACTTCCCTTGGTGATCTGAAAGCTCAGTCCAGCAGATATTTGGAGAGGCGTTACATTGGTTCCCAGGATGTCCAGGGCTTCATTCACCAGTATGAACTCCTAAATTGGGTTCAGAAGCTCAATAAGGATCAGTGAAATAGGATCCCCTTTCATAACACCACTCAAAACCCAAGCAACTGGATTCTGCACCAGCTGCAGTTACCAGATCATCTTCAAGGGCATCCCTATGCATTTATACCCCATCTTTCTTCCAAGGAGCTCAAAGTAGTGCACATTGTTCTTCTCCCTCTCCATTTGAACCTCAAGGTCACCCAGCAAGCTTCATGGGGTTTCGAGCCCTGGTCACCCAGGTCCTAGTCCAACCCTCTAACCACTACACCACATGGGTGTAATTTGATTAAAAACATTCTTGGTGCTCTTTTCTTCCAAACTGCCCTTGCCTTTGCACTTCACTGCTCAATCAAGGAGGAGAGCAAAGGCAGGTAGCCATTCTGTAGCCACTCTGGTTGTTGCATTAAGGATGAGAGCAGAGGAATGGAGCCACTGGATAAAAATTGGCTCAGCCAGTTGTTTCCATGTGGGGACATTCCAGCCCAGTGAACTTCACTGCTGCTTATCATCAAGAGTTTAGTGGCAGAAAAACTCAGATATTTGCCTGCCATCCCTCTCCACAAGTCACCTGGCGTGTTAGCATGTAATGTCATGTTTTCTGCAAAGTAGGGAACTGAAAAGGCCTTTTTCTAAGCTTGTTTATTATTTTTGTAAGCAAATGTTGGAATTATATAGATCAGCTTATCAGTGTACATAAATTGTGATGTACAGGACATATATTGATTTCCCTATGCTTAGTTAGTGAAACCCTCCACAATTGCATCTATAGAGAATCCCACATGCATGGTGTTATTTCTCTGCAGTGTTGGATTGCAACTCAGGCGCTGGTGCTCAGTAATGATATGCTTTCACAAGTCTTAGTATGCATTCCACATCACGGCTCTGAAAGCTGTCATAGCTGGCTACAGGCAAGATTAAATGACAATTGTATGTTACTGACCTCTAGTGGTGGCCTATTTTGTGACACATAAATATTATTAGTGGCAATATACTGTAGGATTTTGTTTATAACAGGGCCTCTGGAATATCACCGGGCCTCATCTGCTGCCATCTTTCAAGGAACTCTCTAGGTAGTTAATTACTACTAAAGATTAGCTTGGTTTTTTTTTAAATAATGCAGTCAGTCATGTAATTATCAATTCACGTGCTGGACAGCTGGTGAATGGCACCCTTTGATGCCAACGCACCATATGTTATGTGTTATATACACGTAATACATTTAAAGAAAATTCTCCTACCCCAAGAATCCAGGGAACTGTAGTTTGTTAAGGTGCTGAGAACTGTAGCTCTGTTAAAGGTAAACTATAGTTCCCATGAGTCTTTTTTTTTGGGGGGGGGAGGAATGTGCTTTAAATGTAAGCAATCAACATCTGGACAAATTTTCATTAGTTCACAAACCATAAAAATCACTGCATCATCATCTTGATAATGACGATAATAATGATCTAAATTAAAAATACTAGAATGTGAAAGGATACTTCCTAAGCTATAAGAAAATAGAAGTTACAATTTCCAAAATTAGTTGGCCACCAGGCTTCATGGAAATGGCTTTCAATTGGTTTGCCCACTATGAGCCTCTGATTCTCCTATCACTATTATAGGTGCATTTATTTATTTATTGTCTTCTGCCAAATGTTGGCAGGCACAACAGAAGTAACTATGATTTAGTTTAGATTCTTGCATTGCAGGGGGTTACAATAAATGACTCCCAGGGTCCCTTCCAGCTCTACAAGTCTATGATTTGATGAGCTACTCCAAGATCACCTTGACTTGCTTATCAAGATGACTGTCTGGCTTCAGATAAATAAAGGGTACTGATACCAATGGAAGCTTTCTTCCCAATTCAAATAGTAGCTTCAGAGGAGCATGTTTTGTCAATAACATGGCAGGGGTTAAAACTCCCCTCTGTATCTGCTGTGATTCAGGTCATTATCACCCTACCCCACACCACTGCTTTTTTAAAAATGCGCACATTACTTGCAAAGATGCATTTAACATCACAAGTCATTTGACCTTAATAGACCAGGAGTGCATAGCTTTAAAATTTCCTAATCTGACTTTTACATTTCTTTTTAACTCAGGAGAACCGCACTGCTACATTAATCATATGAAAATGGTGATTTGAAAGAAAAAGAAAATACGAGCCAGCCCCAATCAAGGTTGTAAAAATTATATATTCAGTACAACGTTCATAAACCTTAGTTATCACAAAAACCCTACCATTTTTTAGGCAATGCAAGCAATACAAACATGAAATGCAATGCATGTTAAGTACTTTGTCACATTTTAAATTTAGTATTTCCTTCTAACTTTTTTCCTCTGCATGACCTCTTCTCTCTCTCCTCTCCCTTTTCTCCTTTCAGTTTGTTGTTGTTCTGTTTGCTGCTGCTGTTCAGCTTCTGTCTGCTTTCCCCTTTCTGCTGAATTCAACATCAACAGAACACAAAGCTTTCACTCTTTCAGAAACTGACAGCAAGAGTGGCCAGGTGCTCTATGCAAGGGAGCCAGTGGCCTGCAAGAGGAATCTGATAATCTGGTGCCAACTCACCCACATGTGCCACTGAGTCCAAGGAGAGGAGGAATAATGCAGATATATAGTAGTGCAGCCATCTGTGCCCCTTGGCCAAACTTTAATATTCCCACAAAGAAATGATAAACGCTTGCAAATAAAGGGCATTTGGAATTCTGCCCGGGGGGTTGGGGGGGGGCTACAGTTCAAACTCCTGAGCTCACCTTTCATAACCAGAACTTTAGAAGCTACCCCAAACAGACAGGTAAAATATTGCAGACACTCCAAGTTTCCCTATTTTCCAGGGCCGTCCCTCATTTAGAGAAGCCATCCCAGTTTCTGATTTAATCCTGGAATGTCCCGCTTTTCCTTAGGATGTCCCTATTTTCATTGGAGAAATGTTGGAGGGTATGGAGTTATCTGACCCCCTGAGCCGTCTGAAGGCAATCCTGTATAGGGAAGGGTTTTTTAATGTTTAATTATGTTTTTCTATATGTTGGAAGTCGCTCAGAGTGGCTG